TAATAATAATAATAATAATAATAATAATAATAATAATAATAATAATAATAATAATAATAATAATAATAATAATAAATGAAATACTCACATTCAAAAGTTTGATCATCCAATATTTTAAAATAACATAAATGAATTTCGCAATTTTTTAATTCATCGAAAACCGATTTAATAGTTGAAATGGCCAACATGTTAGAACTTTCTTGATGGCATATTCGACGAGGCATTTCGTTTAATGGAATACTTGTTATATGAAGTTTATGTATATCATCTATGCTACTAATTTTGAATCCGGTATTATGAATAATTATCAACGATGATGGCATGGCCGGAGTTTTAAATGATCGAACATACGTTACATTCTATATATTGATAATATGATATTGAATAATATGATATTAATTAGTTAGTTATAACGACAATAATAATGATAATAATGATAATAATGATAATAATGATAATAATAACATCACCGATAATTAAAATAAATAATATTACCTTAGTGTTAACGTTAGAACATAATAATTGATAATTTTTACTATAAATTATAGCGGGTTTATCCGAAGCAGCGAAAACATATTTAATTCCATTGGCTTTAAATGAACAAAGTATAACTTGTTGATTTCCAATCGTGAATGTTCTATGTGGACCAGAAATATTGGCATTAACTTGATTCAATATAAAGAAATCAACTTGTCCATCACCAAATCCTATTAATAAATAAAGTATTCCTTCAAATGTTTCTAACATAACTGATCGAGGAACTGATGTATTAAATAATTTTTGCATTTGAATAATTGTTAATGATGGCAAATTTAATACGTTTATTAATTTATCACTCCATAAACCTACAACCGCGAATATGGATTTTTCGGGATTTGATGGATCCGATGGGTGAATTGTTAAACATGAAACCTCCGAAACCATTTTCTTTCTCCTAATTGATAATAATAAATAATTAATAAAAATAAGTGATAATATTAATAATTAATTAATAATTAATAAAAATAAGTGATAATATTAATAATTAATAATTAATAATTAATAATTAATAATTAATAATAGTTAATCAATAATAAATAAATAATAATTATTATTACCCAGTTTCCATTAGATCAGTATCATAAAATTCAAAATATATTAATTCAGGTGCATCCGTGGCTACTAATATTTGAGTGGGATTTACATCAGCCACAGTAATTGTATTATTTTTTGTTATATTCCATTTAGAACATAATTTTTTGGTTTTCATGTCTATTAATCTAATTGAATTTCTAGTAACCTAAAGTAAATGATAATAATAATAATAATATTATTATTATATTTTATTAATAATATTATTATTAATAAATAAAGTATAATAAATAAATTAAAATGAAGTAAAAAAAAAAAAAAAAAAATGAATACCTGTACAATTAAATTTCCTGCTACATTACAAGTTGCCAGAGTTTCATGACTCTTATCAATATCCGCATAATTATCAACTTCATGAAATTCATCATCTATCAATTTCATTATACGTGTCTCATTAATAAATGAAATAATTAATATGTCATCATATCTATAATAATAGTTTATAATAGTTAACAATAGTTTATAACATTTAACAATTAGTTGATATATTAATATAATACATACTCGGAATCATAAGATGGACGTAATGCCCATATTCCGGTTAATCCCGTCATTCTAGTTTCACCGTGTACGGTAATTCCGACTCCATTACGAATAATTCTTAACGTTCCATCTCTTAGACCACCAGAACATGTTATCACTTGACTCTAAAGTATAATCTTATTGTTAATATTATTAATATCAAAAATAATAATAAAATAATAATATAATAAATAATAATATAAATAATAATAACCAATAATAATAATAATTATAATAATAATAATAATAATAATAATAATAATAATAATAATAAAATAATAATATAATAATATAAAAATTAATAATTAACCTGTCCTGGTCTTTCAGTTTTCAACACACAAAAATCATGTATCGGTGCTAAATTAGAAAATCTTTCTACTTCATCTAAATAAAATCCTTGTTCATTCGGTTCAGAACGTAATTTTATAATTTGTGAATCTCCAAAATGTGAACCGATAAATACGATTCCATTATCTAAATATAAAATTGATGTGGGTACCGATATCTAAATGATTATGAAGAATAGGTGAATGAGAATACATCATATATATATATATATATATATCTATCTATTATTCATTACGTATATAAATATATTACCTTCCCCAATACATATGTATACATGGGTTCATCTTTAGGTAATACTAATAATTGAAGCGTTCCAAAGCCATTACCAATTAACCACCTTGATCCATCTTCATCGATCTGTGCAATTCTAAATTAATTGTTTATTATTATTATTATCAGTCATCATTATTTATTATTATATTATAATAATAACTATTCTTATTATATTAGTTGACAATTACATATTATTTTCAGATCCATATGTTAAATCGGTAAATCGACATTTACGATCTTCATCATATAATGAAATACGTCTAGCAGAAACCAACAAGAAACCACCTGAATGTAGTAATAAACATAACATAAATATAAATAATAGGCATATATATGGGTAATAAAATGAATAAGGGAAAAATATATGTGAAAAATCATTTTTACCACTTGGAACTGCTCTAATGATTTGAGTAGATTCATCAAGATCATCTAATGACCAAATTTCATTTCCAATTTCTTTGGTATAAAGTGGATACGCTTTTACCGAAATATTTTTAATTCCATCCTCATGAAGAATTGCTATTATTGGTATTTCTCGGAAATATAAAAATACCATGTCTCGTATTCGAGTTTGTTTTAATCTAATATAAATTATTATGTTAATGTTAATGTAAATTATTATTATTATATATTATATTATTATCATAATCATCATCACCATCATCATCATCATTATACGAACTTGATATGTATCGGAACCGTATCAAATCCCGAAGGAGCATTTCGTTTTTTTCTTTTATTCGTCGTCATCGTCATCGTCGTATTAGTATTCATTGTTGTGATATTATTTGTATTAGCAGCATTGTTACCAGTGGTCGTCGCAAAATTAGTCCCAACATTCGTATTCGTATTCGTAACAGCAGCAGTATTATTATTATTATTATTATTATTATTATTCGTAATGTATCCTTCAATTTTTCCAGTTTTCGAAGTAATAATTCCTAAATCTAAATGGATCACCGCCAATATTCCACTATAAACGTGCATCCCCACCACTCGATAATATGGATCGATGATAGTTAAATGTAATAATTCTCGATTTGGATAAAATTTGTAGGTATCATGTTTTAATGTTCCTTGCTCTTCGGTTAATATCCTTTTCCTTTTTGCGCACCAGGACATCACCACATAATCAAGTCGTTCGGTAAATACTATAAGTAAATCGGTTGATACGCACTAATCAATTAATTGATTAATTAATTAATGTAATTAATTATTAAGAGTCATTATTATATAAGATTATATTAATTAATAATATTAATTATATAATTTATAACATACAGGTCCTCGATAAAAATGCATTCCCGCGATTCTACCATTTATCGGAATTTCCATAAAGTATCTTAACCCTCCTTCAACTAATGTATATACATCGATTCGATTGACTTTGCTTAAAAAAAAAAAAAAATTAATTTATTTTTAATTAATTAATTTAATTTAATTTAATTTAATTTAATTTAATTTAATTTGGTCATTAAAGATATAATAATAATAAACAAATAATAATTTTCTAAAAATCTTACTTGATAAGTAGATTCGTTTCTGTCGGTGAAGACCAATGGCCTTTTACCGCTGAACTTACTGTACTAGATTTATGAACGTTTACAACGTAATGATACATCGTATTGAAAAAAAAGAGTTGAAATCTTTTTTTGGTTAACTTTTATAGTGAAAGATGTGATATTCATGTGACAGATGGAGATTGACATAATCAACCAATAAAAATTATAAACTTTTGATATGATGATCCTTAACCTAACCCCCGCTTTAGGATATTACGGGTCCAATTTTATGGTATTTATTTTTTTGAAAATTGCTAAATTGCTAAAGCTCACCAATGCTTTTTCTTTCAAGGAATCTTGGGAAGAAAAAAATGAATTAATCATATAAAATCCCTATGGAAGCTATCGCACATGCTAATCAAAAAAGAAGTAAGAAAAGGAAAACTAGGGAAAATACAACACAACATAGGAAATAAACAAAAAGTATGATTAACAGCAAATAATCTTAAATTGAATAATTGAGCTGGACAATAATGGAGAAGTAAAAGTAATCACAGAAGAGAATGAAGTTAAAGAAAAAGTTAAAAACCACCTTTATGAATGGACTAAGGATAATAGAAAAGATCAAATAATTCTAAATGAATTTTGAACCAAGAAATATAACATCTACTCAAAAACCTTTGACGAATATGTCAAATATTTGGAAATAATTTTTGAAATTTTACAAGGTGCCAAACTAAAATTAAATATGGAAAAATGTTATTTTTTTCTACTGAGTATTAAATTTTTGGAACATGAAATTAGTCAAGAAGGAATCTGACTTGATGAGAAAAATTAATTAAAGAATTTCCCAAGATCAGAAAATTTACAAGCTCTACAAGGCTTTCTAGGTCTCATATCTTATTATTGAAAATTTATAAAAGATTTTTCTAAAAGGGTTCAACCTTTAAATCAATTATTGTGAAAAGATGAATTATTTGTGTGGAAAGTTAAATAACAACAAGCTTTTGAATAGTTAAAACAACAATTAATTACTGCTCCTATTTTACAGTATTTTAATTTTGAGAAACCCTTTTATCTCCATACTAATACTTCTAGTACAGGTTTGGAAGCTGTACTTGCTCAAAGAGATGATAACAAAAGATAATATACTGTTGCATATGTAAGTTGCAATCTTAGTTGAGCTGAACAAAATTACTTGACCACTGAACAGGAATGCATTTGAACAGTTGAACACTTTAAACATTATTTTGAAACTATTTACTTTCATATTGTAACCAATTATGTATATTAAAATGGTTAAGAACTACTGAATTAAAAGGATAACAAGTTCAATAGATCCTTTACTTGGAACTATACAATTTTACTATCTTACATTGTGCAGGAAAGAAACATAATAATGTAAATATTTTGTTTCATTTAGAACAATAAAATCTTTTTTAATTCAAAAACACAACTTAGAGAAAAATTAATATTTTTAATTTGATAGTAAATACAATTTAGTTCAGGTTGTCGGTGTCCTGACATTTGTAACTATCACAAGTCAAATACAAAAGATATGCCATACTGAAAAGAAATTCCAATTTTAGCTGATTTATAATATAAGATGCAATAGAACAGTTAATTGTTACCAATTTTCAGCTGATCTATAGTATAGGAATTATTATTTAGTACAATGAACCTTTTGTATTTGACTAGTGTATGGATTCATCAGAATATCAACATATAGTTAAATACCTTACACATAAAACCTATCTACATACTTTTACAAAAACTGATAGAACTGTTTACAATTAAAAAATAAATTCTTTGAAGTTAAAAATAATTTATTATATAAAAAAACTGATACAGAAAAACTCAAGAACAATTATACAATTGAAAACTGATATAGCTTTTAACAAAGTACAAGATTTTTATTATTGGTTACAGATATACTGTATGACAATATTAAGATATATTAGAACTTGTGACATTTGTTAGTGGAAGGGACAAAAATGAAATCCTAAACTTCTACAGCTTATACCTGTAGGAGACTTCTTTGAAAAAATTGGAATTAATTTTTTAGGACCTTTACTTTGCACCTTTAGAGAAAATAAACATATTATTGTTGCCACAGATTATCTTACAAAATAGTCAGAAGTCCAACTTGTCTCTGAGGCTACTGTTCTAAAAGCTACTACTTTATTTATGATGATATTATCTGTTGGCATAGATGTCCAATAATTTTTTATATTATTAATTTATCATATAATCTTCTATAAATTCTAAATAAATTATGTGTAATTAACCTTTAGTTATACACCTTATCAAGTGGACAAACTAGTTTGATGTGCTAAAACCCTTTGAACTCACCCATAATATTCTTTCAAATTTATTATCAAATAATTGAGCTAAGTTGATTTGAATGATCCTTTTGAATTGTAATAATTATTTGTATAGTTTGATTTAGTATTGTTAAAGAATATTAGTTATTCTTTAGACCCTTGTTCACAAATATATAGCAATATGGAAAAAAATCCATTAACTTATTTATATGACCTTACTGTTACTTTACTTAAGGAAAAAGGTAAAATATAAGTTTGAATATATAAACAATAACAAAAAAAAAAGAGTATCATGACTGAAAAATAATTACTTTCAAAGTATATGAAATTGGGAATAAGGTTTAGTGTATAATACTACTAAATATACCAGTCAAACTAGTAAATTAAATCTAAGTGAAAAAGACTCTTTTATATTCATAATTAACTATATCTAGAGGTCTATAAAACTAAGGACTTTGATAAAAAAGTAGTACAAATACCAATTAATAGTTTATTGTTAAAATTGTATTATGAAAGATCTATATGGGTATCACAAATTACCATCATTTAAAAAAAATAACATTTAAAAAAAATTTAATAATATAATATTAAATGGATATATAATTCCTTGTTATTCTCAAAAATTTGTCAAATAAACTTGACATATTGAAATATCAACAAGACTTAATACGATTAGGAAATTATACTTTAAAACAAATTGACTAATCTTATAATTTGACTGAATTTTGGAAAACTTCTATCTAATATATTTTTCAAAAATTAAAACAAGAGATGCTCCAACTATAGTTCATGAATATTACTTAAGTGAATTAATTCAACTATCTGTTATCTCTTGTGAAAAATGGAAAAAGTTTGTATATATATAACAATTGTACTTAAATGAAATTTATTTTTATAGAGAATCTGAATAACTTTATAAGCTCTTTGAGAAAAATATTAGTCAAATTTACTACACTTTAACCTTTACTTATTGAATTGTAATATGAATGAAAAATATTAAATATCAAAAATTATTGTAATATAATTAAAACTTTAGTGACTTTGTGATTAATATTGACATATCCTAAGTAGAACTTTAAGATTTATTGGAGGAGAATTGTTAGCTTATTTTTCTTTTTATATATATATTTTTATTTTGTACTATTATTATCATATTTTTATATTTGTTATAGTATTATTATAGTATTATAGTTATTAATATAAGTAGATTAATTTAGTCAAGTTATATGAATTAGAAATTGTTACTTAATTTAGCTTATACAAATAATTATGTAATTTAAATACAAGTCAATAGTACATTGACATGAACATGGACAAAGTTACTAACAATTGTATTGACAATAATATTAACACATATATTAGTAAAGATACTGATATAGTTACTAACAATAGTATTAGCCTGAATACTGATATGAACATTGATAACAATTATAATATATATAAAGACTGAATTTTCCCTTAGCTTAAGTATGTATATGTCCTTTATAATAAAATTATTTAAAGTCTTTGTGATATTTTGATTTCTAATTCTGTATGAATTATTATTCCTATCTTATGTAGATAAACTTATAAAAATTTATCTTCTGCCTCTTTTGAAACAATCTGTAATAATAAAATCCTTCATACTTCACATTTCAAATACAAAAGATGTGCTGTACCAAAAAGGAATTCTAATTTTTGCTGATTATAATATAGAATACAATAGGACAATTGATAGTTACTGATTTTTAGCTAATCTATAGTATGGGAATTATCATTTGATACAGTGATTCTTTTGTATTTGACTAGTGCTTTATACTTCCTTTATAACATAAAACCTTTTCAAACATTGATAAATTGAGCATAGTTGTTGTGTTCTTGCTATACATATTTTTTTGCCTTTAGTTGTTAGTTTATTATATTTATTTGAAAGTAAATCACAGTTAATAATGGAAAGACTTTTCTTATTTCTAAAATCCTAAAATAAAAATAATTAAAGAACAATTATCTCAGATCACAGAATTGGATGGTTCCCTTAAAACTGAAAACAAATTTTTTGAAGAAGGAGATTTTGAATCCTTTATAAAATAGATGGACATATGCATAATATTTATTGATAGAAATAATGTCTAGCAAAAATAAGAACTCTTCATAAAAATACAAAATATCTCATCATTAACCAGATCAAGACTATAAGTAATTGCAATTGTTTTTAGAATTATTTCAAAAATGTCAAAATAAAACTTTATACTGATAGTAAATCAAATATTGTTGCAATTAATGAATTTGTTGAAATTCAAAATAAGTGTGAAAAAAATAACAAAATTTAATGTTATTTCAAACTATAACAGATTCAATAAAAATAAAAAAATTGATTTTTAAATTAATAAAAGTAGATGTCTATTTGGGAATTCAACACAATGAAAAGATAGATGAACTGACTAAACAAAGACAGAAAAGAGTGAAGTAATAGAAATAAACCATGCTATAAATAACAGGCCTACTACCTATACTTGAAAACATAAATATATAGATATATCAATATGTAATTTTATTAAAATTAAAAATGAAATCCAGAAAAATTTAAAATGAAAATTATTAGTAGGATATTATGACTGGTACATTAAATTTATACAAATTGAAACAGATTAGATCTACACAAAGAAATTCTTACATGATATTAAGATAACTAACCTAAAAATCTCATTTCATAATCATAATAGTGTTGACTGTGATCTGACCTTCAAGGGATACAATTAACTATTAGCTAAAAATATGGTAGCTAAACTAAAATATAATAAACTAATAACTAATTTATATTAAAAAGTAATATGGTTGAAGGATTTAGATGTTGCAGATTTGTTCAAAAGAGGCAAGGCTATAAGATTTTTATAAAGGTTTAACTAAACCATTCACAAAGAATATAACTAAACTAAACTGATAATTCTTAACACTAAGTAGAGAATTATAACACAAAAATCGTATACCAAGATCACAAAGCAAGGTATAATTCAACAAGGGTTTCAGTATTCCACCAAGGAATATACAGAATTTCACTAAGAAATTACAACAGTATAAATAATAATCCATACAGGTATGTATTATTTATAAGGCAAATCACAAAGTATTTTATTAACAAGAATTAAGAGTTAGCTACTGAACTAGCTAAAGAACTGAATTGGAACTCAATTGAACTGAGGACTGAGCAAAGAGAAATTCAGCCCTTTATATACATAATTGAAGTTATAATAGATTACTCTGTAGACTACACTAATGCATACACTATTAATTATGCTGATGTATATACTATTAACTAAACTTTCTACTATGCTATCTATTACACTATTCATTACACTATTGAATACACTATTGATTACACTGTACATTACACTGTTGATTATACTCAGATCTACAGTCATAATACTTAATGGTTGTATCAATTTCTAAATGATTTATACTAATAGTTTCCTATATACTATATACTAATAAAAATATGAAATTAAATATAGTTATAAATAAGCTAATACATGATAATAAAATAATAATATAATAAATGAATAAGATAAAAATATAGTAATAATAAAATTTGATAACTAAGGTCAACAGCCTCTTTCATAATTGATCATACTTAATTCCTTCTATGAATAAACCCTTATATCATGATTATTTTATTTTGAGATTAGTAATTCTTATAGTTATACTTAGTTTTGTTTATTAGTTTTAGTATTATTTTATCCCATTGTCTTTGTAAATTGTAGAAGGTTTACATGGATAACAATATCATAACAAATTATTAGCAAATGAAAAATCCAGCACACTTTTTATTATGGAAATCTGAAAAGTTCATATAATTGTAGCAACCAATGCTTTTGGAATGAGAATAAATGAACCTGATGTTCAAGTAGTTATTCATGCTGGAATTCCATTATCAATGAGTAAATATATAACATTTTTATTATTAAAAAATTGATCATTTTTTTTATTGTAGGTAATTTGACACAAGAAAGTGGTCGAGCAGGTCGAGATGGATTACCTGCAAAAGCAATTATAATGTTTAATAGAAAAGATATTAGAACAGTTATGAGAGTTTATTCTGGAGAACACGATAGGTATATATTTATTTGCTTATTTCAAGTAATATAAAATTTATACAGTTTTGATATTTATAGTTTATCACATAATGAAGAAAATAATGAAAATAATGAACGTGAAACCTTGAACCATATAAAATATCTATCTGATGCAAAACATAAATGAGAGAAGTATTGTTTAATTGTTCTACGATATATAAATGTTTATTTTATTATTATTATTTATCGTCAATAATAATAATAATAATAGGTGACGCGTCATGTTTTACAAGCAATTACTGATTATTTTGCATGGCCTGAAGATCCGGAATCTAAAGAATGTAATATTTGTGATAATTGCATTCGACGCATGGCAGACAATCCGATTTATGGAAAAAATGTTAAAAGCAATAGACGAAATTATTAAAACACAGCATCGAAACAATGTGAGATAAATAAAAACTATATTTTCGGAACAAAATTATACAACGTGAAACATAATTTGACATACAAAATTTCATAATAATCATATACATACATATACATGGAATACCTTACCTTACAACAATCCGTCAGCAAAAGCGACGAGTCACTTATTAAGTTATTAAATGCTACACATCTAGTGACCTATATAGTCTAATAATAAATTATCGTGAATTATTTAAATTAAATTATTAATATTATTAATATACAGTGTGTATAATAACAAATTCCTATTTTACTTTTCTTTTAAGATTATTGAACATCGTTAGTGCTCTTCCTAAAAAAATAAATAATAACATGATAACATAATAATTTTTCGTTGAATACAATGATTATCTGGATTCTTGATAAATCGTTTACTAGAATTTATTTACTTTACAACATAACTTGATTTTTAACAATTTATTTTTTCTGGTTACCATAAAAAAAAAACATAAAAAGCATATTTTAAAAATAATGAAACAAATTTATATATACTAACTAGATCAGGTGGTCGGGTGACTCTATCATTAAGATTTAAAATAAATGTTTATTATTATAGAAAGGGATTTTTATTTTTACCTTATGTTAGTTTACAGTCTTTTTTCTTGATAAGAAAAAAAATTAATTTATTTCCATCCGATTTACTTCTTCTGTGTGTTCTTCGTGAACCGTATTATCACTTTGATCATTCGTACTCAAGTCCCAATGATAAATATACAGTTTAGATAATTTTGGGTCATTAGAAATTTTCGATGCATCAGATTTTCGTTTTCTACCTCTTGATGTGTTGGTCAGAATCGACTTGGCCATTTCAGAACAAAAAAAAAAAATGAGCTGGACTTCTACTTATATGAATTTTTTTTTTTGATCTCACATGAACTAAAAATGCCAAATCAAATAAATATTTGTAATTGAAATTGTAATAAATAAAATATTAAATAATCGAAAATAAAAAATAGATTATTAATTTATTCTTTTTATAACTACCAACTAAAAATATTAAATATTAATTTATAGCGTCATCTAAATAAATATTTGTAATAAAATATTAAATAATCAAAAATTAAGAAATATATTATTAATACAAAATTCAACCTTCCGTCAAAAAAAAAAAAAAAATTTTTTTTTTCTCTCTTCTATCTCTACAATAACAATAACGAATTGTATAATGAATAAAAAATTACTAATAAAAATATTGTTTATTATTGTTCGCAGTCGTACCACTAACCACATATAGAAATTTTTGTTTTAAAACGGAATAGTCTCAGTAACACTACCACAATAACTGGAAGACCAATCTAATTAATAAAATAATAATTATTGTTAAATAATGACTTAAAATTAAATTACATTTAATAAATAATCCTTGATGAACAAAAAATTAAAATTAAATTACATTTAATAAGTTACTAGCCAGTTATTTTTTTTTCCAGTATTCACCACGTGAATAGAGCAATGTCACATTTGTTATACATTTTTTAACTTAATTGAAGAGCGAAAAAGTGTATGAGAGATTTCACTCATTACAATCATTCACGTAGCACATTGCGTAAAAATGTATTTGTAACAACTAAATATTTTTATTGGCTGCACTAAGTAGTTGTTACAAATAAGCTGTGTAACATGTTATGACATTCGTCCAAAAAAAAAAAAAAAATCTTGAATACAAAAGTTGAAAATCGAGGAGTAATTAATTATTTTATTTTTGTCAAAAAATATTTTTTATATTTAATCGTAATAAACGTGAAAAAAAGAATATACTAAATGATAATTAAAATTTATGGTTGTTTTAATTATCTTCATACTTCGTTTAAAAAATTAGATAGATCAAAAAACAAAGAAATAAAAATTTTTATTTTTTTTTTCATTCAGAACGTTGGAATAAATTATTATTTATTTTTGTTAAAAAATTTTTTTATTATCGAGTACGAATCACGCACTCGATACTAAATCATTGACCTTTTTTTCCATTTCGGTCACGAAAATCTTCCCAAAAAGAGTATCGTTGGCAAGTGCTTTGAAAATCTTTTGCGTATTCCGCGAAAAGCATCTGTGCCGAACACTGTGAATTTTGAAATTTGATGATTGTAAAGATTGTACAATATATCATCACACCTAGTGCACATGTCAAATTGTCAAATTTAAATAAAGCTTTTTGGTTTGAATTAAATTTGTCCATTTGTCCATTTGCAAATATTCTTGCCTGTTTTTAGTTATTTGTGGAATTATATCTATTTTGCTATAAATTTATTTTTAATTTAATTTATTTATATTAACATTATTGTATATTATTATTTTAAATATTCTTACAAGTCAAATAAGAAAAACAAGCAATTTTTTGATAAGAATGATAAAGAATTATTTGTAAATAAGCAGGATTACAAATATTTAATAAATAAAGAATACATTTAACAGCTTATGAAATTTGCTTTTAACACCTTTGTGGAAATTTATTGATTTATTATTTGCAAATGCTTAATCGCTCATGTACGTTGCTACAAGTGCGTTGCTACAAGCACATTCATAGGTTTTGGCTCACATTAATTACATCTAAACACCAACCCCAATAAGGAAAGTAATAGGTTTGAATAGGGGAACGGTACGGACATAATCACGGCACATGAACTAAAATTAGGGAAAAAAAATCAGTTGTCATTGAAACACTCTATTTTAATGTTACTACGTAGCATCAAATTTATTACAATTATCACGAAGATAAAAATATGGATGACAGAACGTAAATAATACTGTACGTGATAATGAAAAAAAAAAATACACAATGTCCTGGTGAAAGTTACGCATAACAATGATACTAGTGCATAGGACAATAGGGAAAAACGAATATATATACCACTTTTTTTTGTCCAGAGATTCTTGTTTCTTTACATTCACTTTACCTAAAATTATAGATTAGCAAAATGCTTTTCTCTCGCTCTACCATCGTTTTATTCTCACTTCTTGTTCATTTCTTCATTTACACCGCTATCGCTGACATCAATGAGCGGGGAAATCGTAATTACTATAGACCTAAAACCGTTACCACTACTAGATACATTAGAAGACCACCCTTTACTTACACCAAATTAATTACTACCACTAAATGCGTTACTAAACTATCTATTTCCACAAAACTATCTACTACCACTAAATGCGTTACTAAACTATCTACTACCACAAAACTATCTACTACCACCAAACTATCTATATCTACTACACACTGTACTGTCACCAAACCAACTACTATCTATAATAATAATACCGTCACCAAACCAACTACTATCTATAATAATAATACCGTCACCGTACCAACTACCATACCAACTACTATCTATAATACTACCACTTTAACCGAACCAACTACTATCTATAATATTTCCACTTTAACCGAACCAACTACTGTCTATAATATTTCCACTTTAACCGAACCAACTACTATCTATAATATTTCCACTTTAACCGAACCAACTACTATCTATAATATTTCCACTTTAACCGAACCAACTACTGTCTATAATATTTCCACTATAACCGAACCAACTACTATCTATAATACTACTACCGCTACTATCACTATTGCTACCCCTGTCATATGTGATAACAATAATTGTATTAAACAAAATGATCCTTGTGACTTCAACAACAAGGATCCATGTCAATGTTGCCTTCACTTAGCTTGTAGGTTGACTGAGGGAACTGCCAAATGTCTCCCCGGTAATGGTTAATTCTGTTTTATTTTGACTCAGAATCTGCGATAAAATATTTCCTACAAATATGATCGATCTCCGCGGATTCTTTTTTTTTAAAAAAAAAATCATTTCGCTGCTCAAATTGGGCGAAATTTTTCACAAAAATGTTATTGCTAATATTAATTTAATACATCAATATTATTACGTAATCCATATAATAAAGTAATATAATAACTTGTTGCATTATAAATAGAATTTAATAAAATTGAATATTTTAATTAATTGAAAACGTGCAATATAATTTAACCTTTTTTTTCAAATTATGTCTTTGTGTGAATTTACAATTACGTATGACCTACGCTTTATAAAAATGTTATTTTTTTGTTTGTTTGTACAGCTATAGTCACCTCCTATATAGTCACATCTCTTTAATAGTCACACCTTTCATAAAATCAACGCCTATTAATGCTATGTAAAAAAACCTCTATAATTGTCACATTTCTATATAGTTACAGTTTTTTGTATCCCGAAGGTGTGACTATAGAGAGGACTGACTGTAATTCTTTCTCAATGGCACAAGTTAGTAAGTGTGACGACCGATTTGTATTATCCAATAGTATCTTCATGAGAAATGTTTTTATCCATGAATTGGAAAAAAAATCATAAAACTTATATTACCAGTAATCTTTAATAATCACTATATTTAGATTACAATGAGATCGATACTAATATGTTGAGCTGAATCTAATATTTATTTGTGGTCATGTAAAAATCGATAAAAACATTAAGCAGTGTAACATTTGTCCTAAATAACATGCCGATATATATCTGAAGATTTATTACATAAAAAATTCCCACTTGTAATTGGTGTTCCAAAAAATATGATGAATTTTTTCGATATGAGAGAAATTTTACTTTTACAGCCTACCAAAAAGATAGCAAACAAATTTTTTTAATTTGATAATATACAAAATGTATCAACTATGCGAGAAAAGATTCTAGAACCACAAAACATATCATACTTTTGATAATTCACAAAGACAAAGGTATAATAAATATAAGAAATATGTAAAGAAAAATTATGTTTTTACGTATTATCAAGTGAGGATAAAAATTCAGCACTATATATCTCATCCTCGGTTAACAAATTTTCATCATCCTCAAATTTGAATGCAATATGCAAAGTCAAAATACAGATTACCAAATAGATAACAATTCGGCACTTTGTGCTTCAAATGTGAAAACTTTCAGCCTCGAAATATATGACACAAATGTAAACCAAGTTTGCCTTGAAGTACAACACAAATACAAACCAAAGTTTTCCTCAAGTGTGGAAGTAAATGTGAACTCTTCCAGCCTCAAAGTACGACGCAAACACGAATTGAGTTCGCCCGAAGTACGACACAAATACAAACCAAGATCACCTTGAAGTACGACACAAACATTAATCATATATGAAAGGTATGTCGAGGACTTCAAACTCAAGCCGGAGGGTATCGATAATAATTATGATGTTATATGAGTATTCTATTAATTGGTGGAGATAGCAATAAAGTTAAAAACAACTTAGCCAATTCCACGCCGTTAGGGGTGACTCTTCGAGTCATTTATCTACAAAAGTTATTACAGAAGCCAGAGTTAAGGAACCAAAGAACCATACTATAAATCAGATTCACGCGCCACCTTCCAGATATCCGATATAAAAAATAAAAGAGCAGAGTATTATTTAATTTCTATATTGATAAAAGAATTTGAAAGGATACCTCAGAAATCATTTTCTAATATTGGTCATGCCAGCTCCGCTTATAATCCAATGAAAGAATTAGAGAGGTATCTTCGAAAAGAGACAAAATCACATTATTCCGCAATAAAAAGAAACAAACGCCATTCCGCTAACAACTTCTAATCTGATACTTCTGACATGAGCATTTCATCTTTGTCCAGTTCAGAAGAAGCAAAGCTTCGAGTCTCTGACTCATCAGGAACACATATGCATAAAAGTGTAGTTATGAAAAAACCTCTTAAGCAAAAACATTGCAAAATGGAAATGCGTAATAAATTATCTAAACATTAATTATTTTCTGGTTAAAGTTATAGCATATAATATAAATTATTTACCATGTTCGTAAATACACTTGTTGAAGGGAAAATTTCAGTCAAAGCATTAATAAATACAGCACCTAAATTTAATACAATAAATGAGAGATTATTCAAAATGTTAGAATCGGATCATGGAGTAGGGGTTGTTTCTTCTCCAGTTAAAAAATAAATATAAAGATGCATTGCGTCCCCGTGAACGAAGCATGTGTATGATAACGTGACATGCAACGATGATCATTAAATAACGTGACTTGATAATCATTAGAATAATCATCAGCATGTACTGTACTATACCAATGATATATTTTCCAGAAACATACACCCGTGATCGAAACATGTACTTGATGCAACGATGATCATAAGTGAAAGATAGAATGAACATTATTTCAGACAAATCGGCAGAATGTATACTGTCTCAGTTTAATTAATTGCTATAAGGTAATATACTATGTTTAAAGTTACAATTTACGGGGTATGGAATATTCCAATTAACCATATTTCATTTGCGCTTTATTGTTTCAATAAAAATTTACCAAAAAGTTTATATATGATTGATGAAATTATAATTGCAAAATTTCTAGCAGGTTCCAGTTTTTACATGAAATAAATGATAACTAGGTATGGGTCTATAAAAGAAGCATTTTTTCTACTGTCCAAAAATAATAGCGAATTTAATATCTCGAAGCAATAATAAAATTATATAAAAGCAAATCAATCAAATAAAATTACTTACCTTAAACAAACTAAGATATCTTCGCTTGTGATAAAATCTCCACGATTAAAATTTCAATCTGATTTTCTTTGCTAGATGTATGCATTAAACATCCCAGAGAATATGCCTTCTATGACTTTAACCGCTTCTCCATTTCAAAATTGTTTCCCGAAGATATTCTCTTATGTGTAGGACTCATCACCATGTAGTTCTTTTTGTGCAATATTAGAAACAAAATCGCCGATGAAACAAACTCTCGTGATACTAAAATCAACAACACTACTATTGTTAAGAAATCGGCAAGATAAGAGCCGAAATTAATCATGATCTCACTGTAAAAATAAATTCCCGTGATATGGGTAGTGGGAAGGAACTCTCATTTTATGGGTTAGGGCTCGAGATGATTTCTCCTTTTAAATGTCCGCTACTCCACACTTTTTTTTAATTCGTTGTTTTTTGGCCTGCCACATTGTAATTTTTTCTTGTAATAGTTCAAAAAATATATATTGTTATGAATAAAACCAGTCTCCAACTCATAAAAAATAAATCGATCACATGGCACATAATATCAATTATTTTTTCACGTGCTATAATCAATTAAACAATTATTCTGGAACCTATAACTCATTTGATATTTTTTTATTATCAATTTTTATCGCCATGATCACGATCTACAAGTTATATAAACGAGACATCTTGGCAATGGAGATGCTTTATACAATTACTGTGGAAAATGTAATAATATATTTTTTACTTGCAATCCTGTATTTATTCGAAGAAATTTGACTCCAGCTCCAATTCCAACCCCAATCCCAACTTCGGGTAACCAAACTGTAAAAGAATTGAAACAAGACATTTTAACTCTAACGAAATAAATAAAATGCATACCGAAGTAGAATGTAAATCTGAAACATTCATTGTTTTATATTTATGCTCATTATTTATATATAAAAATCTAACTAATGGATTCTACTATAATATGAATATAACCAATGAAGGTTTTCCACCAAAATAATCAATAACTTTATCTTACAAATTCAAATTCTTCTGGAAAGCACTACTGAATTTTCGCTTTTACATCATTGATCGATTCTTTTTTGAATATGATAAGATCATACTTGAGATGGCTGGCTGGAAATCCGAAAAATACATTTGTAGGAATGACAAGAAACTCGATGTGAAAAAAGTTTTCCCTCGTTTTTTGAATCAAAGAGAGGATTCTAAGCAATACATTATTAGTAATTTATCAGATTATATGGGATCCCAAAGAAGCTGAAATGAGTAGATGTGTTTATAATATACCTACCATTCTTTCCCTTTCTTCTGATATGAATAATAATGAAGGCGGTGGTCTCACTCTTTATATACCATCAGTAAAATTTTTTAGGCGTAATATTACGTAATATTACACCATAATCCGTTTTTGACTTCGCTCGCGATTTACGTAACAGAGAGTGATTTTCTACTAAGATATTTCTAAGATGGATCGAAAGCCCTGGTTCCTGGCTACATGTGAATATATGTTTCATTCTTGTAGCCTCGATATTCAGTGAGATATTCACCAAAAATATTACGAAACTTTTCACGGACGTCCGAATTTAAATGTAAATATCTCGATGAATATCGGTTCTATAGGAATGAAACACATATCAGCATGTAGCCAGGAATCAGGACTTTTGATCCATCTTAGAACCATTTTAGTAAAAAATCGCTCCCTGTCACGTAAATCGCGAGCGAATTCAAAAAACAGATTTTTTTAGGCGTAAATTTCCAAAATATTTCGAAAATTTACGCCTAAAAAAATTTCCTGATGACACATTTAATTTCTACAAAAAATTTATCTTTTTAGCAATAGCCCATTGTCAAAAATTATTGAAAATAAATTATTTCGGGTAAATCAATAAAATGGACGCTGTTTTGGTTTGCTGATACAAATGGTGTGATACATATTATTATTAAAGTTCTACGATTCATTTGTTTCAAGTTAATATATGATTTAAATGTTTTGATTTATTATTTTAATTGTTTACAATCAATAATTAAGCAACAAAGGGGCAGATAAAATATAAAGAGGGCACATATATATTGCAAAAAGAATTTTGAGAAATACATTGTTAAAAGGGAAAAAACTTGTTTAATGGTAGATAAATTTCTTCATGCGTGTTTAAACATGTACATTAGGTAAGGTTCTTTCAATGGTATAGCAAAAAATATTTATATAAAAAAAAAAAAAGAGAAAGTTTTGAGAATATATATATACGGGATTATGAACAAGAATAAAATGAATCACATCAAATAAGCAATTTTTGGTCATACAAGATCAGTATCATTAATAATTAATACAAGATGATAACGTATTTAGATGATGCAATCGGATTTACATTTCATTATAAAAAAAAATCATGAAACGTGAAAAAAATTTATCGTCTCAAATGTCAAGAATTTTATCCAATGCAACATCATAAAATTGAAACTTTCATACTTCATCTATTACCAATTATATATTATCCATGATTCATTACGGAAAAAGATTTTTATTCAAAATATATATCAATAAAATTGTTTATTTCGAAAAAAAAAAATCATTCCAGAAATAATCGCAATTTATACTGTATATGCTTAATTTTTTGCTGAAGTATAAATCGTATATTAAAGTTAAAAAATGCTAAAAGATGAGGTAACGAAAAAATATAAATGAATTATACATTAAACACTTATTTGCAATTTAGATATGTTTGATTGACGGAATTCTTAATTTTTTGTATCCTCTTCGGAATAACAATTTCTGGTTGTTCATCGTACCACACTTCTAGAAGAAAAATTCCGTTATCTTGACATATGCATATCACGATTAACAACATCCTCAAGTTTTTTGACATCTTTATATCAGCCAGTGTTATGAAACTGGTGCTGACTTCCTTGCACCTCCAATAATTTTATGTTGTTGGAAAAAGGCGTCAGATTCTAATCTATCTAAGAAAGGAGGACGGTGCTCAATTATTGGTTCTTTAAGAATTTCTTTAGAAATCTCTTTTGCATATTTTTCTAAAATTGATATTTTTTGCATTCTGAATCTCAAGCTCACGAATAATCTCAAAATAGCCTAGATACTGTAAACTGAGTGGTTTCAAATAGATCATGATCTTCTTTAGTACGTTTTAAAAATTTCGTATACTTAACCTTAAGTTCTGCGATCTTGGCCTTACGTTCTATATTCTCAGCCTTAAGTTCAGCTTTCTCAGCCTTAAGCTCTACATACCTAGCTTTAAGTTCGGATTGCATAATTGATAATAACTTTTATTGTATATAATATAGATTTGTTTAATACAATAAAATAAATTTATGAAATACACATTTAAAGTAAAAACGATTTTATATAATATAACAATCACCAGGACTAACTTTATTGATATAGAAAAAAATACATTGGTTTTAATTCGATCAAATCTATTATACATTAAGTGGAGATTTTACTAGCTGATCTCGGTAAAGATGCATTATATAGCAAAGTCACATTAACAATCAGAATGTTCTGTAAACTTAATAACGACTTTATAAATTTTGATACAATGATTATCCATATCGAATGAGAGTTGCACAGGTTAAACACAAAAGAATAGGTGGCACACATTCGCAGCATGCTGGTGTCGTAACCCTAAGATGTTCATATACTACTACACCCCTAGTAAGTAACACAACTAATTTGGAATTATAATTTCATTTTTTCGTGTAGTAGTATCCAATATTTGTTTAAATTTTCGAAAGGAAATTTTAAAATTTTAAAATGTCAAGTGGGAAACGCACCCGTAAAACAATTTTCTCTGATAGTGAAGTTGAAGAAGACACAACGACTGCAACAAATACTCAGGTAAATTTTTTTAAATGTATAGACGCGTCTATTACTTGTGTCATAGCGAAGATAAAAATTACTTATAATTAAAGTAGTTGGGTTTGCAATACGACCTGCCTATAATATTCAGTAAATTTTGAACTCTATTTTCTAATATTTTTTTTTTTTGTTACAGAGGCAGACAAGGGCGGGTTCAAAAAGAGCGCGCCGTTCTGTAACTGAAGAAATCAGAGCTTTTCCTGATTTCCCTGATGATATGGAGGTTGAAGATGATTATTTGGATGATTCGGAATTTGACAAAGAAGCAGCTGAAGAACTGGAAAGAACAAGATTAAGACGAAGAAGTTCTGTTGGGGTTAGTTTCAATAATGATAAAAATAATATTATACTAGAGAAAACTCCCTTGTGTTAATTTTTAATCATGATTAAAAGGTCACAGCAGAATCTGGCGTCATCGAATATATAGAACTGGTCCATTTCATGTGTCATAAATTTCTTAAAGTTAATTTTGGACCTAAAATTAATTTTATTATTGGACACAATGGAAGTACGTTCTACGCTTAGTTGATGATTTCGTTTTGTATAGGGTTTTTTTTTCGAAATGTTCATTAATCAAACCTTTTAGGTGGTAAAAGTGCTATCTTGACGGGGATTACGGTTTGCCTTGGAGGTAAGGCTAATGCTACAAATCGTGCATCAAATTTAAAATCCCTTATTCGTGAAGGCGCTAAGTATGCAGTCAACTATTTTTAATATCTTTTTTATTACCGATCACGACCCTTAATGATGAAACTCGCGAAATGTTTAAAATCCTTATATTCAATAGTGTTGGACAAATAACATTGAAGTTGCGCAATCGTGGATCTGATGCGTATCGTCACGACATTTACGGCGATTCAATTATTGTTGAACGTAGAATTAGTCGTGATGGAAGTAATGGTTACAAAATCAAAACATGTGAGGGGAAAGTTGTTTCTGGAAAGAGGGAAGAATTAAATTCAATCTTAGATCACATGGCAATTCAAGTGGACAACCCAATGAACGTGTTGAGTCAAGATACTGCACGTCAATTTTTACAATCTTCAAGTCCAGAGGATAAATATAAGGTTTTTCAAATTAAATCGGCTTTTTTTTTTTTTTAAAAAAAAAAAAAAAGCTAATACTAAATTCGATTCTTTTAATATTAGTTTTTTATGAAAGGAACACAATTAACTCAATTAAGTGAGGACTATGAACTTATAAGAGAAAGTATCGATACAACACAAAATATTATTAAAAACAAAAAAGAAGTGTTACCATATCTGCATAAGCAAGCCAGAGAAGCTGAAGCTAGATTTAAAGATATGGAAAAGGCACGAGAACTTGAAGTTTTAGTCTCATCCTTGAAAGATCAAATAGCGTGGGCACAAGTCGAGGAAAAAGAAAAAGTTTGTCTAATTTTTTTTTTTTATCATCATATTAATGATTTGTAGCACTGAATAAATTTACAAGGATGATAAAAAAATTCAATTTCATTTTTATATGAAATGAAATGAAATAGGAAGTCGTTGACGCCGAGAAAAATTTGCAGAGAGTTAGCAGGCGGATAGTTACTGTGCAAGCAAATCTAGATAAAGAAAAGGTTAATATTGAAGGTTCAAAGGATTAACAATTTTATATAGTCGATAAAGTATTTACGGTTTATTTTGTATTGTGTAATAAATATGTAGATGGAATTGGATAAAATTAATGCTGCCATAACAGAGTTAGAACAACAATATAATCAACATGTCGAGGCAGCGCAACCTTTGCAAAATCGTAAAAAAGAATTGCAAACGAGGATTCGAGAAAAGACGAATCAATTACGCGAGATTTCGGTATGACTTCATGTTATAAATATTATAAAACTATAATAAACTTGTATGTTGTTTTTTAAATGAAAAATTTTGTAACACATGATATCCTGTGTAGGCCGATGAACGAGAAATCAATGAAAATATTGGAAATTTGAGACAATCCATTGAAACTTATCAAGTTAAAATAGAGGAGGAAACCCGCAAACTCCAAGAAAACAATCGTTTAAAACGGGATGACACGTTAAACGCCATAAAAATAAGGGAAAATGAAGTCGAAAGATTGTCTCAATTGAATCATGAGTTACAAACTAAACTTGAAAATCTACATGAAAAGAGAGATCACATTCGTAATGAAAAATATTCTATTGAAAATAATATTCGTAATAGTCGTGAACAAATCCTACATTATGAGAATCTAAAGCAACAGCTTGAAGATCAAAAAATCAATCGTTTAAAGGCGTTTGGACCTTCTATTCCTGATGTACTTCAAGCCATTGATCAAGTAAAGAGTTGGAATAGGAAACCAATAGGACCTTTCGGAAAATATGTTAGTTTAAAGATGCCTGAATGGTGTAATACTTTGGAATCAGTGCTTAATACCGCGCTGACAGCTTTTGCTGTTTGTGATTACCATGACCAAAAATTGTTAGCGGATATTATGAAAAGACATTATTGGTACTAAAGGAATTGTAATGATTTTTCAATTTATTTATTAATTTTCATTATTGTTATTTATTCTTTTTTTTTTTTTAATGTTTTATATAGCAATTCGCCTATTATTGTTGGTGAAGATGATAACTTTGATTATTCTGTAGGAGAACCTGATAGAGAATTCTTAACGATTCTTCGAGTTCTGCAGGTAACGAAAAAATATTCTCAATAATAGTTTTATTAAATCATAACTGATTTTATTTTTGATATTTGAAACATCTATAGATTAATGATGAAAACGTCAAGCGAAGACTTATCACACAATATCACATAGAATCAACTATACTTATCGAGAATCGTGCAGAAGCAGACAGGATAATGTATAATGAAGGTAAAGGATTTCCTCGAAACGTAGATGGGTGCTATACGATCGACGGGTTTAAGGTTGGGCACAGGTAAAATGAAGTTGCAAAAAAATTATTTATTTATTAAGTCTTAGCTAACAGTTATTCTTTATAGGAGTGGAGGTTATTCAACGCAGTCCATAAGAACTCATCGAGGACCTCCAATACTTGCACAAGACATTGATGCTCAGATCAGGTATATCAATTTACCATAACTACATTAAAGTCCAATTAAATGCTAAGTGAATATAAATTTGATTTTATTGTTTTTTGATGACACAATTTAGAGATGCTACAAGAAGACACAGAGATGCGTCTTTAATGCATGCTCGTTATCTTTCTGAATCGAGCAAAGCTGATTCTGAGCTAAATAATGTAATCGCGGAACAAAAGCAAATACAGGTAACTTTTTATATTAATTTTATTAAATAGAGTTCATTAGATGTACGATGATTATCCTTTTTATATTTTCATATAGAGCGAGACTACTGAAAACCAACGTCGTGGAAGAGAATTGAATGATGAGATAATTCAATTGAAAGACAAATTGCAGGTTTACTTCTCAAATGATCTTTTTTTTTACTTTGTATTTTGTTCGTAATTTGCTTTAATGCCTTTTATGATTATAGGATGAAGAGCCAGCTAACATTGCAGCGTTGGAAGATGCAGTAAGAGTATGTAATTAGTTTTTTTCTTTATTTTTTTTTTTTGGAATCATTATTTCATTCGAGTACGTTAATAATATTTTTTTAATAGGAAGCTGAGCAGCAAATTACACAGTATAAGATAAATTATTCATCATTACAAGAGCAAAAAATAAGTATAAATCAAGAACAAGTTCCATTAGTACATGAAAGTGAAAAAGTGAGTGATCGTTTAGTCGCTATGGCCGAAGAATCCCACGTTATTAATGTAAGTAATCATTATTTGTATCTAATTTAAATAAATTAAATGCATTTATAGTTGATTCACCGATTTTTGTTTAACAAAGAGAAAATTTGAAGAACAAGTCAGTCTCAGGGTTACCTATGCTAACAATAAAGCACATTGGGAAGCAAAATTGGCAGTAGAGCAAGAGAAAATCGATTCCGCCGATAAAGAACTCAAGGATAAAAAAATCACACTTGAAGTAATTATTCTATTTCGTAATAATTTAACTTCATATTTGCAAAACATTCAACAAATTTAATGATATTTGAAACGTAATCAGGATTGGACTAAGCAAGCCGTAGATTACTGTCCCGAACGCGTGGAGGTTACAAAATCAGCACACGATTTAGATCGTGAAATAAAACAAATTGGGATTAGATTACATGAAAGAGAAAGAGAGTAAGTGACGATTATCATCTAATCGGCATAAAACTTGAGGTCTTTATCATAATACAAATGGCTATCGTCATTTTTTTAGACATGGCGTTAGTTTAGAAGAAATTGCTTCAGATATGAAGGCAAGACGTGACGCATACCGAAATGCAAAACGTGAAATTGAACATATGGAACGATTTCTTAGAGTAATTCATATTATTATATTATTATTATTATGATTATTGCAGAAGGATTCATTTGTTTTCTACATAATGTGCAAACTCTAAATGATATATTGAATTATTTCAGGACCTTAAAGTTGCTCTGCAATCGCGTATGCTAAAATGGAGAAATTTCCGTACCTATATTTCACTTCGTGCGAGAAGTCAATTTTCTTTTCAATTATCTAAACGCGGTTATGCAGGAAAATTGGCCTTTGACCACAAACTAAAAAAATTGACTCTTAGGGTAGGATATTCATATTTCAAATAATATATAGAATATTTAATAAAATCATTAAATGAGATTAAACATTCTATTAAAGGTTCAAGTGGATGAACAAACGAATCAATGCACTGACAAAGATCCTAAATCATTGTCTGGTGGAGAAAAATCATTTTCCACTATATGTTTACTACTTGCCCTATGGGAAGCAATGGGGTGTCCAATTCGTTGGTATGTTTTAAGTTTGTGATTTTATTATTTTATTCATATATTGCATATTTACTTGATAAAAAATTTCAATTTAAGCCTTGATGAATTTGACGTGTTTATGGATGCTGTTAATCGTAGAATCTCTATGCGAATGATGGTAAGTTATTGGATAAAGTTTTTTATTAAATCTTATTGATTTCGATTATCGTTAAATATCGATTGATCTTAATTTTTTTGATTAGATTGAAACTGCACGTGAAGCAGATTGTACTCAATACATTTTGATTACTCCTCAAGATGCTAGCAGTGTCTCACCTGGACCAGATGTTCGTGTTCATCGTTTACAAGATCCTGAAAGAGGTCAAGGAATTCTTGATGAGACAAATGAGACAAATTGATTTTCAATGATATAATGATACGAATAATTTGATCAAATTTAATTTTTTTTAAAAAAAAAAAATATACATAATATAATATACAACTAATATAATATATCTACAATTTATTAAACTTGTAATTATTTTCTTTTTTGTTGATGCATTCACATATCAAACATATCAAATAAAATATAATTTGATACCCTTTACATGGAAGGTTTTGAGCTAGTTATCTGCACTTTGGAAAAATCAATAATTGAAAACATGATTTATATACTTTATCAAAACTTTTATTGCGATAAATCACGTAAACTACTAAATATAAATTTTACTAATTTATACTGTATCTACTGTATCTGAACCACGACCTTTCCGTCTCTTACTCCATTCCTTTTTTGTCCATTACTATTCACCTTACTAGAACCTTTAGAACATCTTTTTTTAGTGAAGACTTTTAACATTGATGGTTACTTGCTCAAAGCTAATGATTGCACCTTCGAATCTGTTCGGCTCACACCATTATACTTGGGAAGAGTATTTAATTTTATATCCCGCAGAACGTATCAATAAGTTGTGGAAAATTCAGTAGCGGTCTTACCTTTCATCCAATGTTTCCTTTCACGAAGATATACGACTTATGTTGCATCATTTGGTTTATCTGTTTTACCTATAGATGACCAACTTTGACTTGTGCATTTTGTTTAAAGTTCAAAGAATATTTAACATATTTCAAGAAACATTTGACAATAACGATATAAATTGGACCAAGAATTCATCCTTGTAAGACAAATAATCCCAGCTTGTACTAAGCGCCGAACGAGCAGTTCATCACTAGCGGCAAGCAATCCCAGCTTGCTCTAAGGAAGTTCATTACTGTTCAGAATTAAGCTCTCAATCCTATTCTACTAACAAACAATACTTTTCAGTTGTCAAGGATTTCGAGTTTTTTTTTTTTTTCTTTTTGTCTGTTCTTTTGATACTTTCATACTTTCTTTAGACCAAACCCAGTTTGCATTATTCGATTGTAGGCTTCATAACACGTCGTTGTCATTTCTTTCAATTCCTTTAACTTTTGATCTTTTGATGATATTTTATCCCAAGCATGGAAGTGGTGGAAGTTGGAATAATGAGATTCGGAACTGTAATAAATATAGTCCAGGTGCGATTTTCCACTAAGATATTTCTAATACAATTTAAAAGCTCTCATTTCAGGCTTTACAACAGTCATTAAATCATCCTTCTAACATCAATATTCGTCGAGTTATTGCCGTCCGAAGTCATTGCTTTGGCTTGTATGTCAGGAACTTAACCAAATTGAATTGATGCCATAAATTTTGATTTTGCCAGGTTTCGTCAACTAGATTAACTAAAAAGCTATGCCGGATTCATATTATGCGCGTGTCTCTAGGAAACCTTTTTTTTTTTTTAATATGAAATTTTTTATTATATTACATGACATGTTATTGTAAATAAATAAATATTATTAAATAATAAAATATTTATTATTTTATTTGAATAAACATTAGTTGATTCAATATATAATTAATAATCAAATAATTAACTCACTCAGAATATACATTTGAATATTGGAATAAATAAATAAATAAAATACAAATATTATTCTATCAAATTATTTCAGAAGAAAAAAAAATCTATGTTTCTAAATCTTTGCATATAAATATAATATAATAATATTAAAACCCACACATTCATAAAAATATTTCTAAATGTTTCCTTTGGGTATAAATGGCTAAAAATAATATAAATAATGAACCCAAAACTACTTTTACATTAAAACTTCCTGATGATGGATCTTCGAAATTATATTTATTAATATCATTTGAAAGTTCAACACTACCAGATGTTGCTGCAATGGTTTTATCATCATCATCAATTATTCGAATTCTTAATGAGTGAACCAAATTTTCCGAGATCCAATCTTTAACTCGCCAATATAAAGTTTGTCTATTTCTAACATATCTCCAATCACCATCTGAAACACGAATTTCAATTCCTGATTTTTTATAATGATAATTGGGTATAAAGATTTCAACTTCTGGTGCAACAATATTCGAGGAAATATTATCATTAACTCGTTGAGACGATGAATAATTTGTGAATTTGAAAGTGAATTCTTTTGTTTTTATATTAAAAGCCATAGTCTGTGGTACACCAGGAGCTTTAGCAGCATAAGGACGCTATAAAAGTAATAATAATCATTTTTTAATACATTTTAAAAAGAAAAATTTAATAATTTATAACTTTAAACATTATTTCTTACCAGAACAGCATCTAAAACTCTTCCTCCATCATGATGAGATGGATCATAATATCTTTCTTCATCTTGTTCTCCTAATTGCCAAGGATTTAAATCAAAAGGAGATGTTGGAGTAGTAGGACTCATTTGACTTAATACACTTTTACATTCATCATAGGAATCTGAACTTATGGAAGTTTCTAAAGTATCTATAGATGTTTCTAATGTATCTTGAATTTGAATTTCTTCTGATGCATCTAAGAACACTTGATCTTTATGATCATCATAATCCGTAAATGTATGAATTTTAAGTTGTTGTTGCGCTCGAGATTTCAATTTGTTTAATGGTTGACCATTTGTTTTAATTGATTCAATTGTTCCATTTGTTCCATTTGTTCCATATGTTGAATTGGTTGTCATCATTTCAGATGCCAATTTAGATATTTCAGATTTCATTTCGGATGTTTCAGATATGAGAGAATTCTCAGTACATGTTGGTGTAGAAGGAAGTGGTGAATATATTGAAAAATCTTCACCATACCAATGATCACCATGCGTGTTATCGTTAGAAGAATTATAATTCCATAATCTAACGAAATAATCATAAATCATAAATTAATAAATTAAAGTTATAATTTATTTTTTCAACAGGAATTAGAAACATTATATAATTTAATATAATTAATAATATATCTAAATATTAATATATTTAATACTAACGTAAAATTCACCAGATTCTTTTCCATAGCAATCAAAACAGCATCCAGAAAATTAATATGATGTGTGTAATCACCAGTCGCGAAAGCTTTTTTATCATTAATATCCATAGGTATTCCACATTCACCTATTACACAAGGTTTATCACCAACATTTTCAAGACCTTTTTTTACAATATTTCGAACTTGACCAAAATAATTCTTTTTTGCACCAGAAATTCCAAAGTATGTGGCTGACATAATATGTTGAGGTCCCTATTAATTATATATATAAATATATAAATTAGAAATATTCTTAGGAAACATCACATATCAATCAATAAATAAAAATAAATCTCACCTGTGTTAAACGTTGTACATCGTGTGTGATTATACCGTCAAAACTTTTTGTGAATAAAGCCTGTAAATCGTACCAATGTGGCGCATAAACAACATTTTTGTGATGATCAGAAGTAGTCCATTTTGGAGGTGGCTAAAATAAAATATAAAGATTAATTTTTTATTAAATTGAAAAATGACCAATAAAATATTATATCAATTATTTACTTACTTCATTAGGTAAAGGTTCCACGAAAACTAGATAATCACTCTTGACACTTTGTATACCTTCCGAATATCTTTTTACAAACGGAAGATAGAAATCTTTATAGAAGTCAACTTTTTTTCCAGTTATTGGGTGTTGTGTAAAATATTTCTTATTTAAAACTTTAGGTTTTCCAGTTTTTACATCAACATCCCATACTCCATGTTTTCTCCAAATACATTCATCATTTATCCAAGCAGATACACGTTCTTCATTTACAAGTCGAGTGGAATGTTTACGAGTAGGAAATGGCCAAGATCTAATCCATACTTCAATTTCTTGAGGTATTCCATCACCTAAAGCAAAAGATTGCAAGGCATTCGGGGAATCCCCAAAAACTAATGTGGTACCTGCATCATATTTGAAAAGGTCAGAGAGACCAATATAACCGGGACTTTTTTTTATATTGTTATTATTAATTATTATTATTAATAATTAATTAATTAAATTAATTAATTAATTAATTGTTGATAAAATAAATAATAATATTAACTGATAAATCAACTTACTGAGGTTCATTCATGAGTTCAAATCCCATTACAGCATCTAAATGTTGTAATCGCCTTTATTATTAATAAAATATTAATAATAATAAAAAAAAATATTAGTAATATTTTAAAATTTTATATAATAATTAATTACAATTTCTATAATATTAATTACCGTGCCAAATGTTTATAACAATTTATATATTTATCTTGAAGGAATTCTTTAACATTGACACCCTCATATAATGATTCTGGTGCGAACACATCACCTCCCCAAAATAAGGTAAACATCGTACTACTTGCTAACTTCGTATAATTTGTAGGCCAAACCATAGGTAAAAAATCACCCGGTTTATGATTTGTATTATGAACATATGCTGCTCCAGTTGTTTTAAATTGGTTCATATCAAGACCTGCAATTTCAAACGTCCAACCTGGAGCACCAGAACCTCCCGAAAAACGTGACCACTATAGTTTATATATATGAATTTATATTAATTTGTATTTAAAAATTGTTCTCAAATATTTTTTTTATAAAATGAATTTCTACATACACAATCTTGATGTGGGTCTATGAAACATCTAATGCCATACCTTGGCATTTCTTCAATGATATTAATAAGATATTCAATAAATTCTTCATCATAAATGCCACTATTTTATTCATCCAAATTATTTATTCAGATTATTTATTTATAAATTATTTATTCAGATTATTTATAAATTATTATTTATAATTTATTTATTTAATTTATTTATAAATTATTATTTATAAATTATTTATTTTTATAAATAATTTATATATATATATATTTGATTTATTAAAAAAAAAAAAATGTAATTAGAAATAATTAAATAATTGTTAAAAATAAGATCATAAGTATTTTAAAATTTACTTACGGTCCGGAATGTTCTAAAGCTTCCCAAGTTACCAAAAGCCTCACAAATGTCAAACCCCAAGTTCTTAATCTAGCGAAGTGTTGATGTACTTCTTCTAAATGGAATGGACGCCCAATAAATGATACATTACGATGATCAAAGAAACCTTCAATCAAATGACTAGATCCATTAGGTTTGGTTGGTAATTTTGAATTTCCACATAGGTTAACACCTCGCATTAAACAAGTTCGACTTTGTTCATCTCTAAACCATCGACCATCCGAATGAATTGTTCCACCACCACTAGTGTACCAACTTTGAGCCAAAGCTCCACTTTCTCCAAGTGAAAATATATTTTCTTCTGTTAAGGGTTTTTCATTAGGAGTATTTGGAGTTGAAGATGCGTATGAACTAAGAGAAGAAGCTGAATTTGAATGTTTTAACTGAGGAATAACTAGGTGATGAGTTGGTCTGAAGTTCTCATCACTTGTTTTACTACTTAATGATTTATCATCAGATGATTCAGATGATTCACTGTCAGAAGAAACGGGAGTTTTCTCAGGATCGACAAAAATCTCTGGTATAGTTTTGTATCCTGTCGAAGCCTCCATTTTTTAGATCAGTAATTTAATTATCTTTAAAAAATGTTTAAAATGTTGAAAATGTGTGGATATAATATTATATATATTTCTGTTAACGAAAGTTATGCAAAAAAAAAAAATGTTTAGAAAAAAAAAAAGGGAAAAAATTTTTAAAATGAATGTATAAAAGTGAGTAATAATTAAAAGGATGGGGCTTGGTGCGAAGGGAAGAAGGGAATGTATAAAAAAAATTATTTTTGGATTACAACAAGTAATAATTGGTAATAACTCGCCATCTCTTTTGATTGGAAGATTTGCATACTAAGTTTAATAAAAGATCAATGATTTTATTTATTTTATTTTTAAAAACTTTAAATTAGAACTGTATCCAAAATAAGTTTTACCAATCATGAACAGAGTTAAACAAGTATAAAACAAGTTATACATTTTAAATGCAACAATACCATTATTGACAATCTCCTTAATCTTATTTTTTTTGGATGTTGTTTTGCTATATTTGATGTTTGATAAATTTGATAAATTGATAAATTTGATAAGTTTAATAATTTTGATAATTTTAATACATTCTGTTGAATAGTAAAGTTCGATATTGTTTAAATATTAACGTCTTGGATTTTAAAATCTTTTGCAACTATTAAAGAAAGAACTGACATTGGGAAAATGTCTTATCATAAATTTTATTAAGATCAAAGATTTCTCTATTTTATTTTTATTTTTCTTTATGATAACAGATTGATTAAACGATAAAATATAATAATATTACTTCTCAAATATGAATTATAATTATTTAACTAATAAAATTTTGATCACAATTATTGATTTCTTCTGTCAAAATCAAAAATGGAGTAACGCGAAATACATAATCTTACGTAAGAACGTAGATCAACACATGAGTAAATCGTTTTTTTTTTTTTGCTTTTTAGTTCTATATTTCCTGATTAATCTTCAAGATATCCGTTTCTCATACCTTTACCATATCTATCATGCGAAGTGCATCTCAGCTTGATGCGCCCGCGTGATGCTTAGACCGCATAAATCCTTTCTGTTAATGATTTTATTAGATTACACCCTTTTTAGCAAAGGAACTTTTTAAAGTCACACGAATTTATGTGAGACACGAGTGTGTGTTCTACTAGTATCCACTTGACCGTGTAACGAGATGAGGCTGGAGTGTTCTTGTTGCCTTTTTCCCTCTTTATTTATTTTAGGCAAAGTAACATTTTAATTGTTATTTCCGTAATTTGCCGACCAAAAGCCCCGAGTCCTTTCCCAAGAACTTGAATTGTACCCGGGGGAATATTTTTGTATGGGGAGGGTACTTTATTTAACATGGGTTATATAATAATTATTTTGATGGTGACGGTTCAGTAGTTAGCAATAATTATAATGACAATAATAATTAATAATTAACATTAATAATTATAAATATGCTATTTATTTATTCACATCAAAAATAAAAACTAAACTTTTCTCATTTCGAACATGTGATTTCATCCTTCATCATATTAATTTAATTAACTTCGAAATAAGTATTAATGTTATAATATGGTTCTTTGCGGTGATTCCATTTGTTATATAGATATGTTTATATATTTTTTATATACAAATTTTAGTTATAATTTTTTTTTTCATTCAAAATAAAGTTCTTACGAAATTTATTTTTTGTTACTAATTAATCTATAAATAAATATATATATATATATTGAAAAAGTAAAAGATTTTTTTTTATAAATTTGATCAAATTTTCTATTGCAATATTGATATAAAAAATCTAAACAATTCACTTACCCTAAATTTTAACTCAAAGAAAATAATAATAAAATAAATATTGAGAAAATATATCATTTATATGATAAATATATTATTTTTTTTTTAAAAAAAAAAACAAATAAATTGTCTTCATAAACTATACAACTGCGCCAATAACAGTACGACTTATTTCTTCACTAATAGATCGAACTGAAAGTTCCATTGTAACCCCTGTACTAGGGGCAAAGGTCATACGATTTTTGGCGAGAACTTTATGCCCTCCCAAAAATGTGCCAGAAAGTAATAAAGTATGCACAGATGATGATTGAGGTGTTTCAGTATTTTCAACGGGACACATTCCAAGAAGTTCAATTAATGTTGAGCAAGACGCTGAAAAGTAAAAATACAAAATAAATATATAATAATCATCAAAAAAATTTCAAACAATTCACTATGTATACCTTTTAAACTTTTTGCAGCAGTTAAAGCAAATATTTCGACAACTTGTCCATCTTCACCAAGTTCATCCCATGAACCCTGGAAATCACTAAGATATGTTGAGAGAATATAATCACCAGTAACTATTTCAACATCTTCAACCTAAAAAAGTAACAAATTAAAAAATTTATTTTTATTTTCAAAATCAAAAATTTTTAAATAAAATAAAATAAATCTCTAATATTTACCATATATTCATCTTCGTATCCTTCTTCATCATGTTCTCCAGTCGATGGATCACAATCTTTCACAACAAACTTTAAGGTATTAGAGAAACTTCCAAGGGTACATTCCTCAGGATTTATTCTTCGAAATGCGACATATGCAGATCCAGGTTGATCATATGGTAACTTTGGAGCTGGAATACTAAATTCTTCAACTAAACTACCATCATCTGACTCTGGTTGCATTACAACTGTCAAATTTTCCAATAACTGATCACTCAACGTGTTATTGATGTTAAACTGGTGAAAAAAAAAAAGAAGTTAATAAGTTGAATCAGGTGAAATAATTAAAATGAAATTTTATAAATAAAATAAAATAAAATAAATGAAATGAAATGAAATACCTGAAATACTATATGTTCTTTGAACATATGTTTAATACAACTGACAGCATATTCAGTCTCACTTTCTGTGAGATCAATTGGTTTTGTGCTACTTTTAAATACTGCTCCAAATGATGCAATTTCTGAAATATTTTCTAATTGTTGAGCATATGATTGCGGTTGATCTGATCCAGGAGTTGGTGTTGCATCCCTACTTGTCGCAACAATTGTGGAATTATTAATTCCAATTACGGCTGATGATGAAACACCAATTGTCTGAGTAGTTCCTAAATCTAAACCTCTACTAGGTCGTAAATTCTCTACTTCCGCTTGAGCTTTTGTTATTTTTGGTACGGAAGATAAATCAAATGGTTTTTCATATTCTTCAGGGTTACTCACATATTGAACGAGTTGTTTCTCAAGTACAGAAAGTGAATATGTAGAATCTAAAAAAATAAAATGAAAAAATTAAATATGTATACTAATCCCCTTTTTCTTTTATATGATTGAAGTTAAAAAAAAAAAAAAAATTTAAAACAAGATTTACCATCCTTAATATATTTTTCTGCTCTTTCTTCATCATCCAAAAGCTTTAAATATAATATAGCTCGATCTCGAACTTCATCGTCATTATCGTCCAAACATCTATAAATAATTATCAAAAAATTATTATCATAAGTAATTATAGTCGTCGAAATAAAAAATTGCCATGGTAAAAATATAAATGAATGAATGAATAAATGTTGGTTGTTAGATTTTAAAAAAAAAAAAAAAAAGATGATACCTCGTGAGTAAAACCTTAATGCTTTTTTTAACTTCAGGGTCTTCCGCACTAACACCAAATTTTGCAAGTGCACTCACAGCAGCTGCTCTTACAATAGCTGATTCTAATATAACTCGATTATAAATGTATCGAATATATTTTGTAGGTGTGGCAGTCTTCGGTCCCTCGATTCCGAGAAGATGCAAAACGCGAACAGAAAGTTTTGTGAATTCACAATCTTCAATGAACTCACATAAATGAGCCAAAGCTAAAAGAATTAATCAATCAAATATTAATTTTTTAAGACATAAAAATTTTTTTTTAAATTTAATTTTGAATATAAATTTTGAAAAATTTAAAATCTTTAATGTTATTAACCTGCTTCTTTGGACTCGGGAATGAATTTAATCAAATCAAAAATTGCCTCAACAACTGCTCGCTTAAATTCATATCCACCTTCATCTCTTAATACACCACTCAAAAAGTTAAGCATCACAACTTGTTTACTAGGAAATTTGAGACATAAGGACCGTATTGCATCAACAACAATAACTTTAAATTCATCAGATATTTCTGACATAAATCCTGAAATTTGTTTCATTAAACGATCAACACTGGCTTCATTTCCTGTCTAAATTATTTGAATTCGAGAAATAAAAATAAAAAAAAAATATCCAGTAAATTAATTTCATTTACATTAATTTTTTTTTTTTAAAAAAAAAAATAAATTTTATTATTACTTTCAATAAAGTAGTAATAGCAAAGGTAGCTATGCTTCTATTTTGGTCGGTTATTAAATTTTCCATATCCAAATTGCAAGGTTGAACTGCTGTAGGATAACTCATTGCCAATTTGTTGAGAGTACGAATGGCGGCAAAACGAAGCGTGAATTTTGGAGAGGAAAGAAATAGCTGAAGTACTAGATATTTATAAAAAAAAATGCAATAATTATGATTTCCATGATTCTTTACTATTATCAATAAAAAAAAAAAAAGTAATTATTTTACCATTAACGGCAGGATAAAGTTCTTTAACCGTTACATCTTTAATGTTACATATCGCTTTAGCTGCTTCGAAATTCACTATATCACTCTTGTGTCTTAACCAACCCTCTAAAAGATCGTACAATTGTTGCCTTGAACTGTAAATAAAAATTAATATTTGTGTGAAAAATTATATTCGTGATATTTATTTTGTAATAATTATTTTCACGGGAAACCATGAATATCACAGTCAGCAAGAAAGCCAGCGTGAAATTCATGATAATACCGTGAAAAATAAACTGAAAATTATATCACGGTGAACTAATATGTCCAATGGCATCTCTTTACTGATTTTTTTTTTCGTAAAAAAAAAAAAAAATAAATAAAGCTATATGTGACCAATTAGTAACCGTGGTATAAAAAAAATAATAATATTTACTTATATATAAATATATATATAATATTTTTTTTTCTGACTCACTTTGGATCTTCATCTAGTATCTTTGCGGCATATCGAATGAGTAGACAATACGCAAATGAATTACGTAAAACACTATTTGAAGATCCAAAACTACTTCTACTACCAGCCAATTGTTGTATCAACTTTGTTACAGCCATTCGATCATGTTGGCGAATCAAATATAAGAGTCCCAATGCATGATATTGAGTAATATTACTGGTGGATGGAGGAGTATTATATGATGATCCTCCTGATGAAAATGATGTCAAATATGAAGAAGCTGCGCCAACTAGAGATGCAGGTTTAGAAATAATGGCTTCGTTAACTTCGTTAGCCCATCTTTTAATCACATCTTTTCCCGCAGGAAACAAATGATAGCTAGACACTAATGCAGCGGAAGAAATAGATGGTGTTTTATCTACAATAGCTGCTTTGAGAAAACGTTCAACGCTTGGAAGCATTGAAGCCTAAATTATTATTATAAGATGATGATAATTTTAAGAGTTTTCTTTTGCTGAAATCCATTAATCCATTATGACAAGTCATTTTAAAGAACAAAATAATTACATCAGTGATTTTGCACAAGGCTCTAATTGCGTTTGCTCGATAAATAACTTCAGATTTGGGTTGCATGTCTTTCATCAAACTGCTTGTAACCATAATGACATCTTCGGCGATGGTTGAAAGTTCTTTAATTACTAAGTAGACCATTTGTCGTAAACCAATCTATATATAGGTAAAATTCAATTTTTAAGTTAAAACAAAAAAAAATAATAAAATAAAATAAAATAAAAATAAACCAAATAAATCAGATTTAAAATGTAAGTATAGAAATATAACATCTGATCAAAGTAATATATATATATATATATATAAAATATAAATCTTTACGTCTTTTGATTGAAAAAGTTTGGTTACGCTAAAGAATAATTCTGTTGCTTCAGTTGTTGCCATTGGTTCACCAAGATATAACAAATAAATGATTTTGGTAAGTAAAAGGCGACATTTTCTTGGAATAATTGGAGTTTCATTAAAAACGCGAGCTTCTTGAAGGACGGTGGTTTTATCAAGATGATAAAAAACTCCAAGATCGCCTATATAATAAATTAAAAAATTAGAATTTTAAATTAACAGAATATGAAAAATTTTTATATTTCATTTATGTATGTAGAATATTCCATTTTTTATTCCGAGAATCTCTCTTCCCTAAATATTCGTACTAATATATTTACTCTCTAAATGTATAGTCTCAAGCTTTTTTGTTCTCTATAAATGCAAAAATTTTTTCCTTATGTGCAAGTTGTCTGCATTCACCTGAATCTTCGTCCTTTTTCGATAAATTCATATTTCTTTTTTTATCAGTTTTTTTTTTTTTCTCGACCGAAAAATTCGTGAATCGTAACTTCCAAAAAATTTAAATATCACGTGTTTATGCATGAGAATACTTTACACGAACTCTTCTCGGTGGATCTTTTGAATGTAGTTGGGACCTTTCCGTCAAAGTATAAACTTTCTTCATATTTTATTCACATTTCATAATGTCTGACGATGATTTCATGCTCGAGGACGACGATGAGGATTATAACTTTGATTATGAAGACGATGAGCAAGAAGAACCTGATGTTGATCTTGAAAATAAATATTATAATGCAAAAGGTTTGACAGAAGAATTATTTAGGTGTTTGTCTTTCTTGGATTATTTGGAGTCAAGTCGTTTAGATTGTTACGACCATGGATAAAAACGGCTTGATTTCAGGGGATCTTTACAAAGAAAAACAAATTTTTGTACGCCTAGATCAGTTTATGTGGGAATAAAAGCTATAAATTATATGCTTGCTTATTTATTTTTTCCAGCTCGAAAAGAGGATGATCCTACCGGGGCAATTAAAGAATTTCAAAGTGTGGTAGATACTGAACAAGAAAAAGGTGATTGGTAAAGTATTTTATTACCATTGATGATGATGATGATGATTTTTTTTTTTTTTTTTGTATTAAGAATATAATAATACTTACAATAAAAAAAAATTATGAATTCATAAAAAATAGGGGTTTCAAGGCTCTTAAACAAATGGCCAAATTATCTTTTAAAGCTGGAGATTATGAATCGGTAGATTTTATTTTTTCTTTTTTTATGATTTTGATGATCTACATGTAATTAGATAGTGATATTGAATATATTTTTATTACAGACGCTCAATTACTATAAACAACTCCTTTCCTACACAAAATCGGCCGTAACAAGAAATTATAGCGAAAAGAGTATTAATAACATATTAGATTTCATTTCCTCATCTCAAGACATGACCTTTATGGAAGAATTCTATTCCACAACTCTGAACGCATTAGAAGAAGCAAAAAATGAAGTAATAAAGCTTTTAAAAAATTACATTGCAATATATTTTAAATTGTAACGTTTTTTGTTTCTTTTCAGAGGTTGTGGGTTAAGACTAATTTAAAATTGGCAAAACTCTGGCTTGATCGAAAAGAATATACCAGATTGAATAAGGTAATAAAAGTTCATTCTGTTTCTACTATTTACTACAGTTTTAATTAGATATATTCTTTGATAATAGATATTGCGTCAACTCCATACATCTTGTCAAAAAGATGATGGAACTGATGATCAACGCAAAGGAACTCATTTATTAGAAATATTTGCATTGGAGATTCAAATGTACACGGAGACTAAGAATAATAAGAAATTAAAGGTTCATATCATATTTTCATTATTTATATAAAACTTTTAATAATATTAATAGATGAATTTTATTGAAATTAGAATAATTATAATAATTATTATCTTTTCTAGGCGTTATATCAACAATGCCTTCATGTAAAATCAGCTATTCCACATCCACGCATAATGGGTGTTATTCGAGAATGTGGTGGTAAAATGCACATGGGAGAAAGTGAGTAATTTTTAAGGTCAATGAATATTATCTAATTCGATTTTACGAGATGATGACATTTTTATTGCTTCAGAGGAATGGGATAAAGCCCAAACAGATTTCTTCGAATCTTTCAAGAATTATGATGAAGCTGGTAGTCCTCAGCGTATACAAGTGTTGAAGTAAGTTCATTTGCATTCATTTAACTTTATTATGACTAAAATATAGAATGTGAAAAAAAAAAATTATAATTGTGAATATGTAATTGATTACCTAAATTCATTTTATATTGTCTAAAATTCTAAAATTATTAAAGATATCTTGTCCTTGCTAACATGTTGACCGAATCACAAATTAATCCTTTTGATTCTCAAGAAACAAAACCGTAAGATAATAATTTTTTTTTTTTTGTCTTTAAGAATATTTCGTTGTCATAAAATTATTTATTGATTTTTGTGGTTTTGTTATGTCAGATATAAAAATGATCCTCAAATTGTTGCTATGACTAATCTGGTTGGTGCATATCAACGCAAAGAAATTAGAGAATTCGAAAAAATTTTGAGAGGTTTGTAATAATCATTAATTATGATAGGATTTTTTTTTTTTTTTAATAACTTATAATAATTAACAATGGTTTTTAGATAACCGAGCAACAATAATGGATGATCTCTTCATTCGAACATATATCGATGATGTTCTTAAGAATATCCGAACACAAGTTCTTTTGCGTCTTATTAAACCCTATACGCGAATTGAGATTCCTTTTGTCTCAAAAGTAAGAGATGAATATATTTATTATTAATGTTATTTAAGAATTATTATCTAAATTTATATATATATATATATATATATATATATTAGCAACTTAATATCCCATCTCAAGATGTTGAAGATCTTCTCGTAGGTCTTGTTTTGGACCAAAAAATTAAAGGTCGCATTGATCAAGTGAATCAACGACTGGAGTTATATAGACAGTATGATTTCCTTGCTTCCTTTAAATTTATTTATTTTTATTTTTTTTTTGATTGTTCTGAAGATTTTTGTCATTCGAATTCTAAATTAAATTTAATTAAATTTAATTAATTTAGGTCCTCGGACACTGAACGATACAATGCGATTGACAAATGGTCAAATAATGTTTCTACTTTGTACAAAACATGCATCAACAGGGTTTCATAAAATCAATTATTAGAGTTTCTTATTCATTTATCATCACAATTTGTTTTAAAAGTGAGAACATATTTACTGAACATCAATTATGATAAAATGCGAATTTTTTTTCTGACAAAACGTAGACAGTAAAACAACAAATTCAAGAAATATATAATTAATTAATTTAATAACTTATTTGTAATTGTGAACCAAGTGAATTATTATTTGCCTGCCTAAACAACATAAAGTAGCTTTATTATAAAAATATAAAAATATAAATTTTATGATAAAATGTTCATTCGATGGATTGTCTTTTTTTAATAACAATTAAGTGATGGTTTTTTTAATAATCAATGCTTAACATCAAGCTTAACATTCAATCGTTGTAATCCATGTGCACCTTATTCAAGGGAAATATAAATATTATTATAATGAATTTGTTCTCGCCACACCATATTAAGGTATTGCATTCTAGAAATAATAGTATAATTATTTTAGAAGTTTGACTAGTTGTATATTTATCCGCAGCAAGGAAGACAACATTTGACCTAAAGGATGCTGCCTCGAGTAACCAACAATGATTGTCTGTAAATTGTAAAGATTGTAACCTTTGCTGGTTAATCCTATTAATCCTATTAATCCTAAGTAGCAGCTTTAATTCGATCGTGTTGTTAATTAACATAATCAAAGGTTTTGTGTTAATCTAATTATCAAATAATATTCTGATCGTGTATAAGACATGAAGCCCAAATATAATTAGCGGGAGGGGATGGAGTAACAAACATTGGAGGGATACACGATGATGCAGGTTTACCAGGTGCAATTAAATAAGCATCCCATTGTCTCCTAAATAAAAGATTTATGTCACGCTCAAACATATTCTCAAATAAAGAAAACAATGTCAATGTTAATAATTTTGATAATTACCTTATTGAAACTAGATTGTCAATATCGAATTCAGCCTGATGCCAGTATTCATAAGTAGGGTCTCGCTCTCTCTCGCGTTCTTTCATACCAGCGTGCATTGCTTCATTTCTTTTCTGTTCTGCTGCTGCATTTCTCTCTTGATCCAGACGTTCCTCTTCAATCTTCATAGCATCATTCAATGATGCAATTTTGTTAAAGAATTCATCATCTTCTTCGGGGAAGAAATGACCTTTATATATATATACATATAACATTAATAAATGAAAAAGGTTTATATTCAAAAAAAAGGAAATTTCATGATCATCATTTTATAAACCTTCTCGTTTTAGACGATCTCTACGAATATCTCTTAATTTTTTAACTTTTTCGAGAAGTTTTGATAACTCTTTATGCCTGTTCTTCTTTGCTTCTGCCTCCTGAACCCTTCTATCTGCTTCATTTTTCCTTATTTGTTCCTACAATAACCATTAATAATAAAGTTAGAACTTTAAATATTGATCAAATTCATGTCATGGTTAAATCACTTACTCTCTTCATAGCTAAATCTTTGGCTATCCATTCTGTTCGCCATTTGTCAATAGTCTTATGTAATGTTTCTCTTTGACGTTGCCTTTGATCACGTACTTCTTGCAATTTTTTTATATGTTTTTTATTCCATTTCTATAATAATAAATGAATAATTAGAAATTGATTTATCCAATAAAAATTACATTTGTCATTATATTTGCACCTTATGACGCCTATTCTTTGCCAGTTTTGCTTTCGTATTGTCGATAAATTTTCGATCAAATATGAATGAAATATTAGATTCAAATTCAGCCTGTTAAAATTAAATATAGATATGTAAAAAAAAGCACATTGATTATTATTATTATTATTATTATAATAATACTAAGTGTAGAAATTATTCATTCCTTTTATAAATACTTTTGTTTTTTCAAATTTTTCCGATAATGATTTCCATTCTTGACTTTCAGCATTTTTTGAATTTTTTAATTCTTCGAGTGCCTCTTTAAGTCTTTCCAGTTCCTTTTTTGCTTCCAATATTTTTTTACGTAGATTTGAGACGCTGAGAGTGGGTTGCTTCGGTTTATCATAAGTTAAGTTACGGGCCTTAGCCCACGCTTTAAACCATATTTGTTCAACTGAAGAATCATCAACTTCGAAAAAAAAAGGAATTTCAAAAAAAAAAAATTTAGATAAAATGAAAATATAATTATCTGGTTTCTCAAAAAAAAAAAAAAAAACTACTAAATACTTGTTGAGGAAGAGTAAAAATCTACTCCAGGTGGTGGTGCCTCAGAATATTCGTAGTACTATAATTGATTTTTTAAAAAAAATGAATTATTAAATATTAAGCGATTTTGATCAAATATGTTTATTCTGTTTATTCTTACATTAGGAAAGTGATGTGAAAACATTTTATACGTATTAGCGCATTAATAATTGAATCATTTTTAATTTCGAAAATTGATAATCATTTGCGTAACCCAAATTCTGCCAATAAAGATCATTTACTTTTGTAAATCAAATTTCTATTGATTACGATTTATTTAAAAATAGAAAATAGAAAAAACTCACCAAACGTTCCCCCCCCGATACCTCAGCACGGCCTAGAGAGAGTATTATCCTTCTTCTGCAATTATGAATTGCGGATTACTGCCTGTATTACATATTTCGCAATCCAAAAATCTTCAATTATTCACAAATCTGTAACGTTTTCACGATTATGTAATCATTTTATTACTAAACAAGTAAATTCGATCTAAGCTTTCAATTGCATTGTTTTCTTAACACTTCCGACCAATATGACTGTTCATCTTAAATTAAGATCAACCAATCTATATATTTTGCTTTACAAAGTTTGTAATTTTGGTATTACGAAAGTATGTTATAAAAAAAAAAAGTGTAAAGAACAAAGTAAAGAACTAAATAAAAAGAAGTTGAAGAAATTAAATGACGAAGACTTTTCTAAAAAAAATTAGCTAATAGCAATCTATAGTTGCTTGACGAAACCTCTGGGTTTAGACAGGCCGTCGAAAGTCGAAACTGTCGAAACTTTAATAAAAATCTGTCGAAACTTGTCGAAACCCGTCGAAACTAGAGGTTTCGACGTTTCGTCAAGCAACTATATAGCAATCTGATTGGTCAAAATAATATGACCTAGTCTAATGACATTAATTTTAGAATTATAATTATATTCGCAGTAATTTTACTTCGATATTTAATATTTTATTAGTTAATCATATATTTCTTTATGCTATAAAATAAAAGGCTAACTCTAAAGCATGGATGCGTGCAGATATTTGTTGAATGGCTTAATTACCTTAATAATTATTTTCATACGATGGATAGAAAAATTGTACTACTTATTGATAATGCAGATTCTCATTTTAATACAAAAAGACTTGAAAAAGAGAATTCTGATATCTCTAGTGAAGGTGAATCTGATAATGAGCAAGGATTAAGTCAGGATTGCAACAATAATAAAAGAACAATTCAAAACAATTCAAAAAAAAATATCCAAACTTTCCAATATTAAACTTATCTATCTTCCACCCAATACAGCAGCCCATTTGCAACCTATGGATACAGGGATTATCCATAGTTTTAAATCAAAATACAAACAAGAATTTTGTAAACATTTAATTTGGCAATTTGATTCTGGAATTGATTATGTAAAGTAAGTTTATTTTTATCAATCTTTTAAATTTTATAATTGATAATCTTTTTTGATGCTATAAAATTTTTACTAAATTTATTTGATTGATTATGATTTTCATTTTTTTAATTGTAGAAATAAGTTAAATCTTAAAGATGCAATTGACTATATAGCTGAAGGATAAAACAATGTCACTCAAAAAACCATTCAAAACTGTTGAATCAAATGATGATGATGAAATTATAGATTTACTTGAAAATTTACCTGAAAAAGATGATGTACAAGAATATTTTCAATTAATTAATTATAATGTTCCTACTGAAGAAAATCTTAGTGATGAACAAATTGTTAATTTAGTACAATTTGAAAAAAAATGAAGAAAATGAAAAAAGTGATAGTGATGATGAAGAGATACTTCCAGTATCAGTTAAAAATGCAGTTAGTGGGTTGGAAACTTTTATTAAATATTTTGAATAGCAAAATGATGATAATATTGATGATTTGAGAATTTTTAGAAAATATTTACAAATATCTAGAGTTATTGAATTTAATTCAAAAAAACAACAGTCTCTTGATAATTTTCTTTAATATTTGATATAATAATTTTGTTACTTTTATTAGTTTATCTTAAGTAATATAATATTTTGATACATTTATAATAAAATATAATAAAATTTTTTTTTTTTGCAATATTAATTTTTATAATCACACTTTTATGAAATTATATTATATGTGACTATATAAAAAACCTCACTATAAGAACACCTCTATATAATCACGCCTTTAGATGGTCCTGAGGGGTGTGCTTTTAGGGGGGGGTCAACTGTATATGCTAATAAGGTTTGCAAAATTGACCAAAAAAAAAAAAAGAAATTAACAGCCATTGAAAGATGGTGCATCAAATATAATTGATTTATCTGCTCATATGAAAAGCTGGTTTTGTGTTGATGATAGAAAGTTTATTACGAAAAATTATGAATCTATGTTGCGAGTTCCTGAACCAACAAAGGAAGAAAACTTTTTTTTTTTTTTGAAAATCGAAGATGTATGAGTTTTATCTTTTATAAATTTTAACTTGTTTGTCTCTATTCATACTTATTAATTCATATTCCTTATAGATGATACATGAAGGGAAAGTAGATCAGGCATATAAATACTGTTCAGAAATTCAGATGTGAGTTATTAATTTTATCTGATCTTTATTTTTTGCGAACCCAATCTTATTATACTAATAAAAAATATTCTTATTATAAATTAAATGTATATAGCAAGTGAACATCCTGAATTTTTGATCCGAATAATACAAAACCTGTGCATATATGGTTGAGGGACTATGCAAAATTTTTAAAGTATATTTTTATAACCTGAAGTTATTCCGGAGTATAATACTCCCTAGAATTTTTGATCGCCACAATAGGTATGATCTACGCTGCACAAATTTGGAAATACTTCTATTAATGCAAATATCGTAATTTAAAATGTAAATATATACAATTAAAGTCCTTTAAAATAATATATGTTGGAATCCCCCAATCCCGAACGAAGAATTAAAAGAAATATTAAGATAAATCTAAGTCTAAATGTTATAATGATGACTGACTATAGTCATGACGCTCATTTTTTCACTTGGCCGTCAATTATATATCAAAGTTAATCACCTATGATAATATATATGAAAAAATGGAATTTTAGAAAGAGATGAGAAAGAATTGAATCACTAGTTATCACGCATATCTCAGTTTGCACATGATTATTTCGTACAATAATAAACCACGTATTGTCTTTGCGTACATAATTTTGAACCAATAGTAACTGCGAATTTCGGTGTAACTTCATATACTTTTGAAATCAAAAAATAATCTCTTTTAACAGTATAAAGTTAGAAACACAATTCTTTATATTATATTTCGTTCTATTATATTTAGATACCATCAGTAACGTATACGTATTAGTTTAAAAGGCTATGTCTTTGAAAGACAGAACATCAGAATTTCATTCCGCGGTTGAGTCGATTCGTACCAGATCCATTAGTCAAGCAGGAGGTTTTAAAGCAAGAAACAATTTAGAACACCGACGACCTTTATTGGATAATCATAGTAATAGTAATGGCAAAATTATTAATGGAACTAATGGTTTGAACAAGAGTGAATTTGCTAGGATGGCTGGAGCAATAGGAAATGATATTAATATCACGGCAACAAAGTTACAAAAATTAACAAAATGTAAATAAAATTTATTATAATTATTGTAATTATATAATTATATTTTATTATTATATTATTAAACATTTTTTATTTTTTTTTTCAATTTTAGTGGCCAAAAGAAAAACTTTATTTGATGATCGACCAGTTGAGATTAGTGTATGTTTTTACGTATAGATTTAATTATTTTTTTTTATTATAAAATCAAAAAAAAAAAAACAAACAAAATTCTTATACAATATTTCTTGTTATATATAATAATAATAATAATAATAATAACAGGAATTGACATATATAATTAAACAAGACATTGCGAAAATAAACAAACAAATAGCGCTTCTTCAACAATATGTTCGAGATCATAAGAAGAATAATACACAAGCAAATGAACATTCATCAAATGTAGTTGTTATGTTACAATCAAAATTAGCCAACACTAGTATGAGTTTTAAAGATGTCTTAGAAATACGAACTCAGGTATGTCGTGGAAAATAATTTAATATTAATTATTCAGTAATTATTCTTAAATAAAATATTTAGACAATCCATATATAACTAATATAACAATTACAAAATTGATAGAAAATTATAGAATTAAAATTAATATTTTCTATAAATATAAATATATTATTTATTTATTTATTTATTTATTTATTTTGGGTAAATTTGAACTTATAAATAGAATATGAAAGCTAGTAAGGATAGAAGGGAGCAATTTATGTTTTCGAATAATCAACAAGCCAACATAACTGAAGGTATTTATTATCATTATTATTATTATCATTATCGATATTATTATAATCATTATTGAAATTCTTGTATTTATTTGTTCTACTTTAGCAAATTCTCCATTATACAACACTCAAAAGCGTAATGAACAAAATAACAAAGATTTTCTTGCTCTTGATATGTCAACTGGACAATCTCAACAATTACAACTTATGGAACGGCAGGTAAATTTTTTTAAAAAAAAAAATTTGAGAATATTACTGCTCTCGACATTTCCAAGATGATTAATTGTTATTATTGTTATTAATTATTTAATCGTTATTAATTGTTATTTAAGTAATTAACTGTTATCAATTATTATTATTTTGAAGGATAATTATATCGAAAGTCGGGCAACAGCAATTGAATCAATTGAATCTACAATCGCAGAACTTGGAAATATTTTCCAACAGTTAGCACAAATGGTTTCAGAACAGCGGGAAACTGTTCAAAGGTAAGAATATTTTTAAATCTATTATTATTATTATAGGAAATATTAAATTTACTCAATTTTTATCATATTTTTCTTAGGATTGATGCTAACACTGACGATATACAAATGCATGTTGAAGGAGCTCAGAAAGAATTGCTTAAATATTATGCAAGCATTTCTTCCAATCGTTGGTTATTGATTAAAATATTTGCTGTGATAATATTTTTCTTCTTGGTTTTTGTCTTGGTCACTTAAATTATGTAAAATAATATTTTATATTTTAAAGGTTTCTTTTATATGTCATTTTTATTCATTTAATTTATATACAATTACTTGTTGGAGGACTATGCATTTTTTCCTTTTAAATCTTTAGAAATTAATTTTTTTTTTTATCTTTAAAATTATATTAATAGAACAAGAACTTAGATTAATAAAAATTTCTTAATAATAATTCCAGTATTGCGTTTCTTAACTTTATTATAGATTTAATCCCTGTAATTTTTGAATTATTCATGAAAATAAAAGATCGTTGACAAATAATAAAATAATAAATAACGAAATCATTTATTATTCTTATTTTTTAATTTAATTTTTCAATTTATTTTTTATTAACATATTTAAGATAATATATATATTTTATTTTTTGTGGATACAATGTAAACAATTTCCTTTAAAAAAAAATAATTCCTTATTATAGTTAATGGTGTCGCCTCATCTTTAGAAGTGTACACTCATCTATCAAAAGTATTGGACCAAAAACTTTTTTTAAAAATTTATTAGCATTTTTCAAAAGTTAATTATGACCCAATGAATAATCTAAATTGCATGAAATTTTTTTTACTTGATTCCCCTGATCAATAGCTATCTTTAAATATCTTGTTTTTAAAATTGGATGCTTGCTTGCTCAAAAATCTTGTCTTAAATAAAATTAATCAAAAATTTTAAATTAAATTATTTTATAGTTATATTAGTCAATCTCGATAACCATTTATCAGATATATCAAGTATCTTATATGAACTTGTAGCTTAAAACAAGAACTGCAACTTTTTTTAGTACGATAATTAATAATTATTAGTTAAAATCGGGACTTTACTTAGTAACAACTAAAAAAGATCGAAATTTACTGTTGATCATTTTATCATTTAAAAAAAATACTAATAGTTTTCACATATAAAACTTTACTTAATACTAATAAAATGTTAAAAGTAAAACTAAGTAATCTTAAAGATACAATAAGTTTGCATCTACTATAGAGATTCAAGACCTATATCTTGAGAATTGATGAAATAATTAATAATTATTTTTTAAAGCTTAAATGCTAATTACTTTATCAATTTTGAAAATTTTGATCTGAAACTGTTAAAGTAGATGCACAATAATATTTTCTTTAATTTTACTTAGGACCCTTTTGGCATTTTATTAGTATAAAATAAAGTTTTATATATGATGACTATTGGTAATTTTTGTTAAACAGTGAAAATGATCAACAATGGCTTGATTTCAAAATCGTTATTTCTATAACTGACCTCACTTCAATAGTAACAATTAGTTACCTTTAAAAAAATGTCACACTTTCCTAAATGGCCAATAATTTTGATAGATCAGATCAAGAGCTATCAGATTTATCAGTTTTGTTTAAAATATTTTTAATATTGAGCATGTTACATAGATTTGAAAATCAGTTATTTTAATATAATAAAAAAAATTGAGACTAATTGATTTTTGTGTGATATTAAAAAAAAGATTACCATTTTGTAGCAATATAATAATCCAATTATTTTAGCTTAAGAACATATGCACCTTTTATTATAAAATTTTAAAAAAATTATTTAAAAATTTTATAATTCATCATGTCAATTTTACATAAAAAATTAGCTACTAAAAATAGATTAAAGAATCAATTACATAATAAAAGCACTGGCCAGTTTTTTTCACAATATTCAGATTATACATGTTCCCAAAATTAATTTTGGATTTTTGAGGTATTTTGACTTTTTGAGATTTATGCAGAATCTATTTTATATATGGAAGTAAAAAAAGTATCTAGTTATGTGTATATTCAATTAAAGAATAAATCTGTGTGGTCAAAAAATTTTAAGCTTTAAGTAAAATAATTTCATCTTCTATGAAAAACTATTTCAACTTTTTTCTCCAAAATTACAATTTTGAAGCCCCAAAATAATTTTGTGTGCAAGTATAATTCAGATAGTAATAATGATGATGAATATGAAATTGATAGTAATTATTTACCAGACAGTTTAGATGAAAATTATGATCAAAAAATATTAAAATTAGGTGAAATAACTTTAAATATGACAGGTTTGTTTTTTGTTTTTTAATTTTTAATTAAAAACCGTATAAAAATATACAAAATAAATAAAAATTTATTCTATTTTTTAAAATATCATGAAATAAAAAAAAGTACCTTACATTGGTAAATCTACTACAATATATTATCAAAAATATAGTTTATCAGGTATTTATACAAAAGTAGCAAAAAGTTCTTTATCAATTAATAAATATTTTATATAAACAGAATCAGATATTATAATTAATACAGAAATTAAAGTAATATTTTAATACAAGAAAATTTAGAAAAAGAACTTGTAAAAAGTATACAAGATAAAAATGATATTTTAGTATTAGAAGTATTAAAAGAAAATTCAATAAATTTACAAATAATATACAAGATGAAATGAATTTGAAAATGACAATAATGATAATTTTCAGAAAGAATAAATGTATTAAAAATAATTCTTAAACAAAATAAAAAAAAATTTAAGTATATGATTTTCTTAGGCATCAATCAGTTTATTAATAAGAAAAAAAAATATGAATAGTAAAGATGCTTTATTTGATGTAGTAAAAAAAGTTTTTGACAAAGGATTATACTGTACAAAAACAATTTGTAAATGGTTATAGAATTGGTTTGAAAATGGTGTATTATCAACATTATTACAAGGTTGTTATCAAAAAACCAAGTCATTAATAAATGATAAAGATGTAATTGAAAAGAGTTTGAAATTTATTCCTGATAATGAAAGAAAAATTTCACCAAAATTATATAGAACTTTTATTAACAAAACTCTTTTTTTACAATTGGAAATAATTAAGTCAATTTCAGAAAAAACAGCTAATATATAGTTATAAAAACTTGGATTAATTTCACAATTATGAAAAAAGAAATTTATTTTAATAGACATGAACATTCGGATATAATAGAATATAGAAATATTTTTCTTAAAAAAATAGAAGAGTATGAAAAATTAATGTCAATATTTAAGGATGACAATGTGAATTAAAAGAATTCAATTTTATTAGATAATCAAAAACTTCACATTTTGTTAACTTATAATAAATGTCTTTTTTATATCAATGATGACCATCTGGACATCACTTAGTGAACCACCTTTTCATAAAAAAGATTATGAAAAATCAATAATAGTTAGTAAATTTTTAATTGAAACAATTGGTTACTTAAAATTAACAAATAAACAAGCTAAATTATATCCTGATATTTCAAGAAATATATGAAAACTTTTATATCCGGATAAAAATGAAGAAGAATGGTGAACTGCAAAACATTTAGTTAAACAAGTAAAAGATTTTACTATATCAATTTTTGAAAAAGTTCATCTAAATACAATTGTTGTTTTTGTATTTGATACAGTATAAATCATAGAACATTTTTTGATAATGCTTTATGTGCACAATGTATAAATTTAAATTCAGGTAGATTTTAACCAATAATAAAAAATACAATATTTGAATTAGAAAATACTTTTCAATTAATGATATTTCCTTCTGATCATTCAAAATATCCAAACAAACCAAAAGGTATTAAACAAATATTAATTAAATAAGGATTATAGCATAATAAATTAATTCTTGATTGTCAATTATATAAAAACAAAGTTAAAGATTCAACAAGAATTGTTTGTTGTGCTTATAAAATTATATCTTTACAACCTGATTTTTTATTACAAAAGTTAAAATTGGAAACAATAATTAATGAAGCTGAACATAAATATATTTTTTATTTCAAATATTATTGTGAATTGAACTTTATTAAAATGTTTTGAAGAGCAGCAAAAAAATATACATGTGAAAATTGTAATTATACATGGAATAAATTGTAAAAAACTGTTCCTGAAGCTTTAGATTCTATTTCAAAACATTTTACAAGAAAATCATAAAGATATATGGATATTTATAGAAAAAGTGTAACAGGAAAACTTGCAATATTTGTAGAAAAAAAAAACAAATCACATAAAAGAACTTCTAATGATATATGTACTTAATCAAATTATTTAATAATTGTAATGAATAATGTATATTAATATATATTTATTAATAAAATATTTACATTTATATAAAATTAATTTACATTTATATAAATTAAATTAACCAATAAAAATCATCCTAGATCATATTTTTGTTAATCAGAAAAATTGAAAATTTTTTTTTTTGCCAATTTTGTTTATCTATTCAAGAGTTATTCAATAATACTATTTTTATTAAATTCTGATTACTAGATCAAAAGATATTCAAGGTACCTATTATAGAAGTTCCATACTGTAGAAATTTTTTACTAATATATTACATAATTTAAAATGCTAATTATAACATAATAAATAATTATAATATAATAAATAATTTAAAATGTATAAAACTTTTTTTTAAAATAATCCTGTGATTTAGAACTATCATATAATATTTTGTTTGTCAAAATTGGATATTTAGTTAAATAGTAATTTTGATTTAAATAGAATTAATCAAAATATCAAGTTGAATTAATTATCATAATTTTATTTGATTTTGATAAATATTTATCACAGATATCAACTATCTTATATAAACTTTTAACTTATAATATAAGTTAAAATTTTTATTAAAATTATATTTAATATTTCTTAATAAAAATTAGAATTTTACTTGGAAATGACTATAAGTATTTACATTAATAAATTTGTTAAAGAATTTTTTATAAATTTTCATAAAATTTACTATAAAAAATTTATAAAGTCATAAATATCTATTTATTAATATAATTTTAAATTTAGAAATATTAATATTATTAACTTCTATAATAAATTTAATAATTTATGTAATATTAAATTATATGATTATTATTATATGATAAATATTTCTTTAACTATTTATAATTTATTAAATAAATCATTTTTTTTCTATACTATATGACCATAACTTTTTAGTTTCAAATATATTTTTTTCAATGCTTAAAATTTAAGAGCTCACAGAATTTGAATGTAGAGAAATTATTAGTCTTTGAAAAGATAACTATAATGAATAAAATATTAAAATTATTCTCAATTATCTCAAAACTACTATCCATAATATTATAAAAAAATATAGATCTGAAAATTAAACTTCAAGTGTTTTCAAGTTGAGTAGATCACTTAAATTAACAGAAAGACATATTAGACAACTTGTTAAAGTTGTAAATAAAAATTATCAACAATCTTTAGATAAAATAACTGAAAAATTTAATTAATTATTATTAATTTCAACAAGTTCTCTTACTATAAGATGTACTTTACATAATAAAGATTTTTATGGTCAAACTGGTAAATAAAAACCTTTGATATTTAAGATAAACCATAAAAGAAGATTAGAATGATATAATATTAAAAAAAATTGAAGCTCTAAATAGAATACAATAATTTGAAATAATAAATCATGATATTTATTGTTTCAAAATAATACTTATCACTAGGTTTGATATTGTTTATATGAAAAATATAATGTAAATTACTTAATTCCAACAGTAAAATTAGGAAATCAAGGTATAATAGTATAGAGATGTTTTACAAAAAAATAAAATTGGACCAGTAGTTCAAGTTTTTGGCAAAATAACAAGTTCTGTATATATAGAAATCTTAAAAAATAATCTATTACCATTTATTAATAAATTAGATATGAATTTAGAATATAATTTTCAGGATGATAATATACCTGTTCACTATACAAAAATAGTTAAACAATGAATATAAAATAATTCAGTAAAAAATATTACTTGACCTGTACAGTTATCAGATCTCAATTCAATTGAATATTTATAGGATGTTTTAAAAAAAAAAGTTTGTAAATATAATCCTCATCTAAAAAATCTTACTGAATTAATGGTTGTATTGAAAAAAGAGTGATATAAAGTTGAGTTAGAAATTTTAATAAAAAATATACCTAGAAGAGTTTAAGTTATATTAGATAATTATAGTAATTCAATAAAATATTAATAACAAAAGATTTATATTTTATTGAATAAAATTATCTAAATTTCAATTAAATTTATTAAGAAAATTTTTTAATTATTAAAAAATAATATATAAATAAAAATATTTATAATTATTACTAAGTAAAGTTCTAATTTTTATTAGAAAATATTAAATATTGTATTAATAAAAGTTGTAGTGTTGATCCTAGTTGTCAAATCTTATTATTATATTTTCATCTTATTCATTTATTATTTTATTAGCATGTATTAGCTTATTTATAACTATATTTTTTTAGTTTGATTTTATATTTTTTATTAGTATATATTATATAAGAAACTAATAACATAAATCATTTAGAAATTGATACAACTATTAGATATTACGACTGTAGATCTGAGTATAATCAACAGTGTAATGAACAACGTAATCAATAGTATATTCAATAGCATAATCAATAGTATAATAGATAGCATAATAGAAAATGTAGTTAATAGTGTATACATTAGTGTAATTAATAGTATATGCATTAGTATAGTCTACAGTATAATCTATTATAACTTCAATTATATATATAAAGAGTTGAATTTCTCATTGCTCAGTTTTCAGTTCCAGTTCCAGTCAACTCTCAGTTCTTATTAATAAAAATACTTTGTGATTTGCTTTATAAATAATACTCATATGAATTATTATTTATACCTTTGTAATTTCTTAGTGAAATTCTATATTATTCCTTGGTGGAATACTAAAACGCTTGTTAATTATACTTTACTTTGTAATCTTGGTATATTGTTTTTGTATTATAATTCTTTACTTAGTGTTAGAAATTATCAGCTTAGTTTAGTTTAGTCATATTTTTTGTAAATAATTTAATCAAACTCTTATAAAAATCTCATAGCCTTACTTTTTTCAAACAAATTTACAACATCTAAATCCTTCAAATTATATTACCTTTTAATATAAACTAGTTAGTAATTTATTATATTTTAGTTTAGCTACAGTACCTTTAGTTAATAGTTAATCATATCTCTTGAAAGTCAGATCACGAGTAACAGTAGTTTATATTATTAGTTACAAATTCATATAAGTTAGTTAATATCTGTGATAAATATTTATTGAAATTAAATGATATTATAATAATTAATTCAACTTGATATTTTTGATTAATTCTATTTAAATCAAAATTACTACTTAATTAAATATTCAATTTTGACAAACAAAATATTATATAATAGTTCTAAATCAGATAATTATTTTAAAAAAAAATTTATATATTTTAAATTATTCATTACATTATAATTAGCATTTTAAATTATGTAATATATTAGTAAAAAATTTCTAATAATCTTGAAATCAAGTTATTGTTGATCATTTCACTATTTAATAAAAATTACCAATAGTTATTATATATAAAACTTTATTTTATACTAATAAAATACCAAAAAAGGGGATGTCTAAAGTTGTATCCTGTCACGCCTAAATCACATGATAACTGAAATTATTATCCAAGCACTAGTCAAATATATGACATCAAACTGAAGATAATAATTGTTCAAAAAATGAGTCTAAAAAAATAAAATCAATTTTTTTTAATATCATGATGCATATTTTAATATATCATTTTTAAAAAAATTTAAATAAAGTTGTTTCTCTTGGCATAATAAATTTTATTTATTTAAATTTTTTATTTATTAATTTTCTTACATTTCTCTATACAATTTTATTATTCATTTTATCTTTCTTTATGTATTAAGGGTTCTAAACGGGACTTTAATTCTTTAATAAGTTCATTTGTTTATTCATCGTTACCCTTCTCTTCAACTTTCCAATATGTATCACGCATTCATTCCATAAACTCATTTATAATTAACCGTCAGTTTTTGGTTACTCTTTCAGCTTTGGTTTGTTTTGATATATCTACTTCAATTAGTTCATTACGAATGTATATCTCAAAACCACCTTCCTCAAACATTCATTGAAAATTCCTTCACGAATTGGCCATCAATAATTTTGTAACACCATACCATGTGTTTATGAAAAATGTGATGGCACAGAAGCAAATAACGGAAAAAAAATATACAATTGCAATGTAACGATGTCATCCCAGGTGTGAATTTACCTTTCTCGATTCTGTTTTCAACAACACAAATTTCATCAGCAAGTATTCGTTGAATTGGATAGGAAAATTTATGAAATTCATTAAGAATTTCATCATCCAAGCCCATAACTGAATTTTTTTTTGTATGGAATTCAAAAGTAACATATTTTAAATCTATATGTTTTTTTTTATCCAATATAACAACCTTGTGACAAGCACCTTGATAAAAAAAAATCATTAATATATAATAAAACATATCTCCCCGAAAAATATATTAATGATAATATTCGCAACAAGTTACCAATTAAACCATAATACGGAGAGGTTGTTCTTTTTAATTCAGAGTAATATGATTCTAATGAATTCATTGAGATCACTTGCAAAAGAAAAGGAAAGTACTGGTGTGCCCAAAGTACCCATTGTTAATTATTATTATTATAATATCACGAAATATATTGCTTAATAGTTGAAACCGGACATTCATCAATCGCTTGTTAAATAAGATCTTTGCAACCAATCTTAGTTCTTTTATACATTGCTTGAATCATCTTTTGTCAAGTTTTCACTTCGTATATCTTGTTCATCCAAGTTTGCATCAGATATATAGTACAAAATATAGAATTGCATTCCTGTTCTTCATTTTTAAGTCCTGGAAATGCCAGTTTAATACTATTTGCTTCTATATTGCTTTGATCCTGAAGAAAATATCTAGGTCTCCAGTAGGACGTGAATCGTCAAATAATCATCAAAGCTTTAGCAATGGTATTAGAGTCTTCATTGCTGATGAAAAAGTGAGCTTCTACATCCCAACATCCATAATTATTTTGAATATACAAAGTAAATAAATGATAATCATAACGGTTGGTCTTGTGAGTTGAATCTATAAGTATCAACTATCCATATTTCTCAAGATTTTTGATTTGAATTTGGTTTATAAAAGTAAAATCATAGGTAAATTTATGGGAAATCATGTAATGTTTGACTTTATATTGCTAATTCTCCAAAAAAAAATTGACTTCCAAATATCTAATTCTCATTTAGGACCACCAATAAGATAAGTATCAAGAGATCTACAAACTTTATACTTAATATTTACAACCTCCTTGGTTCTCAGCTCCTTTACACTCGCACTCAAGTCCATTTTTTCTGTCACGTATTCTTTAACTGCGCTAAGGATTGCTGGCAGTCGATAATTTTTTATGGCCTCTTGTTCAACTAAATTTCAGATAACTTGTGGATGTTTAAGTCTATCACTATCTTCCAAAGGATACATATGGTTGGGGAAGTCCTTGAAACACTCAACATGTACTTTTTTCTCCATAACGAACCTTGACACTTTAATTTTAGCAAAATACAAGTTGAATGGATGAATTTTTGTTTTTCGCTATTTGTTACTGGAAATTCCTTCTTTTCAGATACTAGATTCCTTAATTTTAGTAAAGTGATATGTGTATGTTTGTGATGAATTACCATTTGCTTTTTTTTTAAATTAAATCCTGTTCAAACGTTCGAAACTAATGACCACCAATTATCATCGAATTTTTACATTAATAGCTCAAGTGGTTGGTTGATATTAAAAAGAAGAGTGTGTTTTTGACTAGGAGTTAATTTTTCAGAATCAGGTAAGTCAATATTTGTAGAAATAAGCAGGTTTATTTTACTTGTATTCATTATAAAAAGTGTAAAATGTGATGGTTAACTGTTATTATTAAAATTAGTGGTTTTTTTTTACTTGTGATATGAAATACGAGTTAACAAAATGATAAAGAATTAAATAAAAGATGTTTTCTTTAATGAAAAAAGTTTCTTTTAAATAAAAAAAAATTACATAAAAAAAATTAAATAAAATAAATTAAATAAAATAAATTAAATAAAAAATCTTTTTTTTAAAATAAATAAAAAAATACAAGTTAAAGAAACCCTTGTTATAAAGTATTAATTACTATCCTCACTTTCTATAGCAAATAGAAGAAACTATTCAAGTCTTCGCTCGTTTTACTTATTTTGTTTTTGTTTTTATTTATTTATTTAAAAGAAAGGTGGGAATAAAAATTACGTTATATACTGTTCTTATAATTTATAAGCCATTATCTGGATTTATCTGTTGATCGGTTAATCATGTAATAAGACACGGCTTTAGACATTCCCCAAAAAAGGGTCTTAAGTAAAATTATAGGTGCTGCCCAAATTCAAAATGTTAAATCTCAAATCCCAAATTCCAAATTTCAAATTTCAAATTTCAAATTTCAAATCCTAAATTCCAAATCTCAAATTACTAATTGCTAATATTTCAAATCTTAAATTATGCCAAATCCCAAATTCCAAATATTATAAAAACTGAATTTTGACAGCTGAAATGTCAAAATAATTTGGAATTTGGATGACATGTATAGTAAAATTAAAGAAAATATTATTGTGTATTTACTTTAACAGTTTCAGATCAAAATTATTAAAATTGATAGAATAATTAAAATTTAAGCTTTAAAAAATAATTATTAATTATTTTATCAATTCTTAAAATATAGGTCTTAAATCCTTACAATGAATGTAAATTATTTATATCTTTAAAATTGCTTAGTATTATATTTACCATTTTATTAGTATTAAGTAAAGTTTTATATCTAATAACTATTAGTATTTTTTTTAAAATAATAAAATAATTCAATAGTAAATTTTGATCTTTTTTAGTCATGACTAAGTAAAGTTCCAATTTTAACTAATAATTATCAATTACCATATTAATAAAAGTTATAGCTCATATTATAAGTTACAAGTTTATATAAGATACTTAATATCTTTAATAAATATTTATTGAGATTGACTAATATAACAATAAAATAATTTAATTTAAAATTTTTAATTAATTTTATTTAAGACAAGATTTCTGAACAAGTAAATATTTAATTTTAATTAAACAAGATATTTAAAGATAGCTCTTGATAAGTAAAATCAAATAAAAAAAAATTCATATAATTTAGATTATTCATTATGTCATAATTAACTTTTGAAAAATGTTAATAAATTTTTAAAAAAGTTTTTGATCCAATATAAGTGTATATGCAAGCTTCTGGTCAATCACAAATTATAGTAGATATTCCTGGAAAAACTAATATTTTTATTATTAACTTTAAAATCGATCACATTTTTATTTTCAAATAGTATCTAATAAGAATTTTAAAGATTTATAAAAAATTTCATAGATCTTTTTTCTGTGTTATCTTTAACAAATAAAATTGAAAAATATCCTAATAATTGTTTCATGTCTTTTTTGTTTCTTCTCCATATATATAAGGTGTAATGAATTTTTTTTTAATATGTCAATAACTGTAACATCTGATAAAGAATAATTGACAAAATATATATCAAAGAAGAAATTGAAGTTTCCCCATGTTTCCACCAATTTCTGGAATTTTGTTCTTTATATGATTTTTCCCCTTGATACTAATATAAATAATAAAGTTAATAAATTCTATAAATATTTAAAATAGTATGAAATTTAATCAAATTTTTATATTCTAGATGATAATTAATACGCGACACGCGTCGTGACAAGAATCACGTGAGTGATCAAATTTTCACTTACGAAAATGTGTCGTATTACTGCGGATCTAGGATACATTTTCCATTCACTCGAAGTGTTTTACAATGACATCAATAGCATCTGTTCCTCAAACAGCTCGACAACTTAGAGCATGTCTCGTGTGTTCACTTGTTAAGGTATTTTTATTTTATTTGAATAAAGTATTTTATAAGACTACAAGATCTAGTAATTTCATTCCTCATAAACAAAAAATCCAATTATTCAGCATTCTGACCAGTTTCGCCGTGAAGGTTGCGATAATTGTGAATCATTCTTACAGCTTAGACTTCATCCAGAAAGACTTTCAGAATGTACTACTACTTCCTTTGATGGGTATGAGAAGCAGATCCGTTTATTATTATTATTTGTTATTACGTAAATTTAATTTAATTTTTTTTTGTACTTTGACAGTTTAATTGCTAATATAAACCCGGAATGTTCATGGACTGCTAAACACAAGAAAATAGGTTAACCTCAAATACTTTAAAATTCATTATTGATATAGAATTATTTTTTAAATAATTTTAAATGTTAATAAATTTTATAATATTATTTTAGATCAATTTGTTGTAGGAGTTTATGCAGTAGGAGTAATGGGTAGTATTCCTGAATGGGTAGAAGATGAAATGTCTCGTCGAGGTATTCATTATATTCCTAGAGATGGTTCTTATACAACAAATACTAATTCAAGTCAATAAACGGTAATATAGAAATCATTATAGAAATAGTTTATGATTATAAGAAAAAGATTTAAAATAATTTCTTATTATTTCAAAAATTATCTCATTCATAAAAAAAAAAAAATAATATTTTTAAATAACATTTTTAATAAATTAACAGAAAATTGGAATTTAATTTTATTTAGAATATATAAAATATAATTTCAAGCCCAATCTAAACTTCTTTCAACAGCTTTTTGCCATACATTATATCTTTGTTCAGATTCTTCTTTAGTAATATGAGGAGAAAATAACATTCTACCTTGAGTATTAACTGAGCTTAATCCATCAAGAGATTTCCATACACCTACAGCATGTCCAGCAGCCATGGCGGCACCTAAAGCGGTCGTTTCTCTCATTGCCGGACGATCAACATCAATACCAAGGATATCAGCTTGAATTTGCATACATAAATCTGAATTAGTCATACCACCATCTACTTTTAAAGATTTTAAAGGAAATCCGAATTCAGAATTAATAGCTTCTAAAATTGCTTTAGTTTGAAAACAAACAGCCTCTAAAGTAGCACGAGAAATATGAGATTTATTGGTAAATTGGGTAATTCCTACAATGCAACCTCTAGCATCATCACGCCAATAAGGAGCAAATAATCCGGAGAAAGCCGTAACAAAATAAACACCACCAGTATCCTTTACTTTAGATGCTAATTCATTGATTTCAGAAGCATCTTTAATAATTCCCAAATTATCACGAACCCATTTAACAGCTGATCCTGCCACAGCAATAGAACCTTCAAGAGCATAAATGGTTGGTTCATTACCAAACTTATAACCAACTGTGGTAAGGAGTCCCTTTTTCGAAATAACAATATCTGTTCCAGTATTGAATAACATGAAACAACCGGTACCATAAGTATTTTTAGCTTCACCATGATGAAAACATTTTTGACCAACCAATGCTGCTTGTTGATCACCCAAAATACCAGCTATAGGAATTCCTTTTATAGCTTCAATAGTTTTTATTTGACCGTAAACCTCCGATGATGAACATATTCGAGGAAGACAATTGCTTTTCACACCAAAAAATTTTAGAAGTTCTTCATTCCATTCTAATTTCTTAATATCCATGAACATGGTACGAGAGGCATTGGTAACATCTGTAATATGTAAACCACCATTACAGCCTCCCGTTAAATTCTTTTTTTTTTTTTTAAAAAAAAAAAAAAAAAAGGAAAAAATTTGGGAATAAGTATAATAAACTGTTTTTAAAATTAAAAAAAAATAAATAAAATAAAAAATAAAATCAATTACTATACAAAATATATATACCCAAATAAGCCAAGTATCAACATTTCCAAACATTAGAGTTCCTTTATCATGAGCTTCTTTGACCTTAGAATCATTATCAAGTAACCATTTTAATTTTAAAGCAGAGAAATAGGTGGTAATTGGTAAACCACATAATTCTTTCAAAACTTCAGCTCCTAAAGGAGATTTCGAATTTAATTCATGAACCAAATCGTGAGTACGGATATCACACCAAACAATTGCATTATAAAGGGATTTTCCAGTAACTTTATCCCATACAAGAGTTGTCTCTCGTTGATTGGTGATTCCGATAGCTTTTATATCATTAACGGAATAGCCTTTTTTAATAAATTTTTCAATAGCCTTTTTGATACAAACTTCCACGCTTCCAATGATATCCGCAGGGTCATGTTCAATCCAACTTTTTTTTTTTTTTTTTTTTCATAAATTAAATTAATAAAATTGTCTTTTTTTTAAAAAAAATTGTTTAAAGATTATTATTATTTTTGAGAACTTACCCAGGGTTAGGATAATATTGAGGAAATTCTAATTGATGTTGAACTATTAAAGTACCTATTTCATCGAATATCAGAAAGCGAGAGGATGTTGTACCTTGGTCAATTGAACCAATAAATGATGGCATTACTTTAAATTTGAAATTTCTGAGTGAAATTTCTGAATGAATGGATGAATGTTAAAACGTACGTTTTTATAGCAGATTAGCAGTGTATCATGTGTCATTAAAAGTTAATCAGCAATTTATCACATAACAAAAAAAGCTAGCATAAAAAAATAACTATAGTAATTTGTAGACTACCATGCAAATAATATAATAAATCATATTTCTATCAAGCTAATGATTGTGATACAGGTCTTTTTCAACAATTCCCGTATGTGAATGATACAGTCGTAAAAGGAGATAACAAAATGTTAAATAAATCCGATTCTTCAAGACTCTCTGTATCGTATCTATCATCTCATTCATTGTTGTCTTCTTGTTCTTTAATTGATATAATTATTAATAATAACATATATAGATTCCTTACATATTTATGTTAAAAATTGCAAATATAACTTTACCATTCGATTTGTCGTCAACCATCCCGAAGGCTACACCTGGCATCAAAAGGGAAATGGTGTACCATCTCGAGAAATGGAGTCATTTTCTGATAAATCAGAATTTGACGCATTGAAATAGTTTACTTTCTTCAAGGGTCTAAAATCCCATTTATTCGAAAATCTTTCTAACGAAATTAAAAAAAAAAATCATCCTACATCTCTCAGATGTATAATTGATTATAAAATATAACTACCTTGTTTTCTAAGTTGGATTTCGTGTTGGACGTACTTTAAAGCTTGAGTCATGTTATCAATCTATATTCATTGCAAAAGTATAAAATGCTGTCAGTTCGTTCCACACACATGCAGTCAATATAGAAGAGTTATCTTAAGAAGGTTCTATTCGAAGAATACGCATCTCGTGAAAACGTGAAATTTTCCTTGTATAATAATATATGCAACTAAACGTATAAGTGCTTTCTTTGCGAACAAAATTTTCTTCTAAAAATAAACTTTTAACACAAAGAAATAAGCATAGAATAATAATAAATAATATCTCACCATTTTTTACCTTTTCTTAATCATTTTTTTTTATCAAAGATGTATTTATTAAAAAAGCGGCGACTTGGCTTTAATATAAACTCTATAATTCAATGAGAAGAAAGGTTATTCTTTTTGATTTCTATTACAATCAATCAAGAAAAGGCGCGGTAACGACACATAACATTTTTTTTTCGTGACGGCGTCACGGAAATTTCATCATATGATTCACGCTATATTGATAAAGTAAAATGCCAGAAATTTTGCATATGGTAAAGTATTTTGCATTCACGAGTTGATCGGTATACATTAATTATACATTAATCGTACGTACAATTTTCTAATCTGGAAAAAGTGAAAATCATATATTTTTATTATGGCATCATGTTCCTAGACTTATGTTCCTCATATTTATTTTATTTATAACAATAAAGAGAATAAACATGTATTTTTTCTGGAATTTATTCTGATAGATTGATATCGATGTTACATATGATCGAGAATTTTTTCTTTCTAGCAAAACATTTAATGCATCAAATAATTATATTTTATATTACACTGGTAAATTTTATCTTTCTTCCTCATTTATAAATTTCATATAAGAGAGTGGCCTACATGACGTCATTTTCGTTTTGTGATAAGAATATGGGTAATATTTTATTAAAATGTGATGAATATGACAGAAAATACAAAAATAAATAAATGAAAGATTAAGTGTCCAAGAGAAATATTTAGGAATTAGTATTTAATGTAATCTCGAATTTCCGCTTGCTCAAGTTCCATTTTTTCATAGCAAACTAATAATTAAACAAGTTTTAAATAAATAAATAAGTCTAAATGAAGAAAACCAATAAGTTCTAATCATATTTAAAGAATCATTTAAATCATTTACTGAATACTCACCCGTTTTCAAAATTCGCGTAACGTTCATCATCTAAAAAAAGAAACGAGAACCAACAACTCACGATGAACAAGAAATTAAACCAGGCAATTTTTATATAAATGTTTGCGTTTTCCGAACCATCTGGGCTCGCTGTTACAAATGGGATGCAGAAAAGAAAAGAAAATACTTTGCAACACAATTATTGTTCGCAACAAAGATGCCTAGTTAGAAAACCCTATAAAATCTGGTTAAAAAAAAATGGTGGATGGTCTTACGAGCATCGTTGTACTGTGAAAACACTAGTGTCACTCTTCACTCAATATAATACACTTGCGGGCCTAAACATCACGCGGGCACTCACATTACGCAAGATTATTTTATAAAAAAAATAAATAAAAATAAAAAAAAATAAAAATAGAAATGATATCCTCTTGTATATTATCATTCACAAGAAAATTATTCTTTGCGAATATAAGGTAATCATTAAAGAAATAAAGGAAATAATCGAATCGGATGATAATAATAGAACTGCTGATTTTTGCATTGATGGCAGTGATCTGCATAAATTCAGATTTCGATCACTTTTTCACGTTTGAATTAACCAAAACAGGTCAAATCCGGTTCAAATAAAAAAAAAGAGTTTTTGTTATTTTAAAAAAGAAAAAGCTGATCATCACATTATTTGTTTTTTCATATTTCATTTTTTTTTTTGATTTTTTTTTTTTTTTTTTTTTTTGAAACATGGGGGTAATTTAAAATAATTCATTTATATTTATTTTATTTTATGGTTGACTTTTTTTTATTTAATATGAAAAATATTAATCAAAAGAATAAAATTTCCTTAGATTAAATATGTATTGTTAGTAAGTAGGCAAGGTAAGGTGAGATTAGCAAAATGGTTTAATACTCTTTCACCAAAAGAAAAACAAAAAATTATCAAAGAAGTGACACAAATGGTACTATCAAGGCGTACCAAAATGTGTAATTTTTTAGAATATAAAGGTAGGTTTAATTCTGTCTTATAAATGAAATCATTTTCATAAATAATTTTTAGATATTAAAAAAGTTTCATACTCTTTTAAATTTGTTCTTTGGAATAGACGAAAAAGTTGTATATCGAAGGTACTTGATTTTTTTTTTTTTTGACTAATAAGTGGTTGAAAAATTTGAAATCTATTTTTTTTTTTTTTTTCAACTTTAATTGAAAGAATTGAAATTGAAAAAAAAAATTGCAAGAGTTATTTTTATGAATATATTTTTCTCAAATTAATTAAATTTTAAAAAAATAAAAATAGATATGCTAGTCTATTTTTCGTCACCGGAATTTCTTCAACAGATAATGAATTAATAACACTTGAGATTATTCACCGATTTGTAGAAATTTTAGATCGATATTTTGGAAATGTAAAGAAATTATTGAATTTCTTTTGATTTCCAGTTTTCGTTTTATTAATAAGAAATTTGGTTTTTAAATAATAATTTTGGAATTTTTAATATTTATTTTATTTTATATATTTTTATAGGTTTGTGAATTGGACTTGATTTTCAATTTTCAAAAGGTAATATTTTTAACAAGACAAAAATTTTCCTTTAATGCAATTCATCAAATTCTAATTATTTATTGATTTTTAAATATTCATCAAAAAAAAATACAGGCATATTTTGTTTTGGATGAATTGATTATTGCAGGTGAAATGCAAGAATCAAGTAAAAAATCAGTATTACGTGTGGTTAGTCAACAAGATGCTTTAGAAGATGGCGAAAATGGAGAAAAGGGATGGCAGGAAAAATAGAAATAGTTGATGGGCATTCACTTGTTTTTTTTATATCAATTTTTTTTTTTTTGGTGGGGAAATTTATTTTATAATAGTTTTGTTTTGTCTTTTTTGGTTTAATTGTAAAATATAAATTATTAGAATAATGTTAGACGAAGAATTCTATGCTTTTTCATATATTTATTATTTTTTGACCCTTTAATATAATCTCAAATGAAGTGATTACACTCTTTGGGCGGTAATCATATTGAGAGAATGATTATTATTATCATTATTTTTTTTTTTTTGAATTCATTTAAGAATTTAAATAAATTTTATCATTCTTTCTCCAGTACTCCCAACCTAATAAGTAAGTGTACATTATCTAATTCGATGTAAGAATTCGTCATCACCACTCACACCACGAAAGTTGTTAGTTGGTCTAATTGATAGGCGAATTAATTCATTCATTGGTTTAAGGTCTTGTTTTCCTCGACGTCTTCATTTGTTTGGTATACTTTTTGGTCATCTATAATAGGGTCATAATTTTCTTTTAAAATCTTGACATGCATCAGGTTTATGACTTAGTTTATCATTTTATCATTTTATCATTGGATTGTTTCTCATACATTATTTTAATCGCCGTAAAAAAAAATAATAATTAAATATAACAAGTATAAAAATTAAAGAAACAAATGAATGAAAAAAGAAAAAAATTTTTTTTATGATACCAATTTTAATGCCCTTTTATATATTTTTGACACATTCGAAAAGAAGAAAGAATAAATGTATCAGTTAATTTTACATAGTAGTACTGCATATTATATAATCAAAGGCTTAATTCGTAATCTGTGAGTAGATCAGACTCACGCGATAAATTTCGGGGCTAATTAATTATAATAAAAAAAAAATTTTCGAATCTCTTATTCATGTCCTTTAAAAAACAAAAAATACTACTACTTTCTGCTGGCAACCTTGTTTCAGAACTTCATTATGGCCTATATGTTATAAATTGGTGGTTTTTTACTAAAAAAAAAACTCTAATGACGAAAAACAAATATGCATACCTATAAGGTTAAATATGAAGGTTCAATAGAACTTAACAAAACCAAATTTGTTATTCGTATTGTTACCACAGAAGATAACATTAAATCAGGTTACATATGTGAATCAGATAAGAACTCAAAATTTATTTTACTGCTTCAGAAGCTATAAATGAAACTTATAAACAATTTTTTAACATTGGAACACGATATTCAGGACCATCTATTTTAGGTTTTGATAATGAAAATATTATTCAAGAATTATTATTTGACATTATATTTTATCCTTTTAAAATAAAAAATAATAATAGATAAACTTTCTGTTTTAGTAATAAAATTAAATTTATCAAATAATAACATAGTTGAATATCAATCATGTTTTATATACAAATATCAAGGAAAACAGTCTTTTTGTACATAAAATTGAAAATAAAAAATATTATATAGAAATATTTAAAAATACGAAAAAAATAATCTCTTAAAATGATATTTCACCATTGGAAGTACGGGAATATTGAAAAATTACAATGACAACACTTTAATTGGAATGGAACATACGAATCTAGTCAGTACAAAAGAATTACCAATATGTAATGTAAATGATTGGGATAATATAGAAATAATGAATCAAGCATTTGAAAAAAATCTAAAAAAGAAAATTGCAATTGCTAGTTTAGATTGGGTATAATTTTTTTGCTAAATGGAAAAACCAAAATTCGAATATTATAGAATTGAAAACTCATCTTAAATCATTTTACCTGCTAAGTCATGAATTTACTGGTCGAGAATTAAATGCTTGGAGAAAAATGAAGAAAAGCGTAGGATGCAAAAATATTACACTTATAAAAAACAAAAATCTAAAGTAAGTATTTAATTGGATATTTATAAATTTTTTTTTTTTTTAAAAAAAAACTAATACTTTTCTTTTAGCCCGAATTTTGGATGTGTAACATTAATTCTAATAATGATTGTTCCACGCTTTTATATTTGTTTGACACGAATTTATTAGCCAGAATTGATAACAAAGAATCTGATATAAAGATAGAAAATCAACAATTGAAAAAAAAACAATTGATAAATTTTGAATAAGTTTTGATGAATCAATTAAAATGAATAAATGTGGAATGGACAGAAAACAAAGAATCCTTTCTATTATTGCTGAAAAATTTGAATTTAAAGAAATACAAGACAGATTACAAGTAAGTTTTTACCAATATTTTCTGAAATAAGTTTTTATTTATTTTTATTTTTATTTTTTTTAGATTTCAAGAACTTTAATTAATGATTCAAAAAAATGTAGATGTACAAATGGTCCAGGATTTCCTGTAAAAAAAAAACCTATTATTACATGTACTCGTATTTCTGAAATAAAAGATGACAAATTTGAAACATTTTTTTCTAATAAAAACACTGTTAGTATGAGTTCTTATCAAGTTGATTTTAAAACCAATTTATCAATTTTATATTTGAAAGATAACAAAGAGACTCTTTAACATAAATATGAAGTAACTTATCCTGATAGAATTAAAAGAATATATTTTATGGCAGCAAATAGTCGTTATAGGTATTGACATGATTTAGGAGGTTTGTATAATATTTGTAATGAATATGCTTATGAAACATTTGATATGTTGATTAATTTGGTACAATTGAATATAGAGCAGAAATTACAGGTATACACTAGTCAAAAGAATCACTATATCAAATGGTAATTCCTAAACTATAGATCAGCTAAAAATTGACCATCCTATTGTATCCTATATTATAAATCAGCTAAAATTGGAATTCCTTTATATCTTTTGTATTTGACCTGTGATATATGTAATTATAAAATATTTAGATTTTATATTTTCAAGTATTTTATTTATAATTATTATTTATTTTATTAAGTGTACATTAATAAATGAATTGGAAATTTTATAACATCATCTAAAAAGAGGCTTTGAAAATGAACTTACCATAAATACTAATGGTACAATATTACATATAAATACAATTAATCATTGTGTATTGTGTGCTATTGGAAAATGCAATCAAGAATACTATACTTATATCCAGAATTATATAGAGGTATTCTAGTATGCTATATAAATGAAATGTTTATGAAATGCCCTAAAACAGTGTGTTCTAATATGACATATAAATGAAACATTTGTAAAATGTCTAGAACAGTGTGTTCTAATATACTACACTGGTTAAATGATCAAAAATCAGCAAATTTTTTGTCACTTTGAGCCAAAAAATTAACTAAAATTGGTTAAAATTAACCATTCGATCTTCAAATCACCTGTCTGATTTAAAAATTGGCCATCATTACCTATTTTTATATTTTATTATTATATATTTTATATCATATATTTATTATTTTATTACTATTTATTATTTATTTCTTAGTATTATATATATATAGTATTACAGTAGATCAATTTAATAATCTGTAGTACAAATTAGATATTATTACTTAAATTAGCAGATTCCTAAATTCTTATTAATCTGTAATACTAGAATACAATTAGAGTATAAGCCAGAGTATAAGTTAATATCTCAGTTAAAGTACAAGTTAAATTAACAGTTAAGATATCAGTTAGAATATTAATATAGATACTAATGAAGTTTATAGCCAGATTACAAGTTAACTTAGCAGTTAAATTTATAATATATAAAAAAGCTGAGAATTCCCTTAATTCAGTCTTCAGTTCATTAGTTTATCTTGATTTTCGAGTTAGTTTTCAGTTAGGATTTATTAAGTAATAAAGTTAATATTACAAAATCCTTTAAGTTCCTTGTTTATTGTATTCTTTAATAATTGATAAACTGTTTGTCCTTATTAATAAGTTGTTATACCACTGTTAATAGTTAATACGCCTCTTTCATAATCAATCGTACTTAATTCATTCTACACATAAATCCTTGTATTGTGATTTGTTTTATTTTGAGATTAGTAATTCTTATAGTTTTTATTTAGTTTTGTTTGTTAGTTTTAGTATTATTTTATCCCATTGTCTTTGTAAATTGTAGAAGGTTTATACGGATAACAATTTGGTAGTGACTGTAAAATATCGAACTCTTTTTTTATTCTGATTAAGAGATATTTTATTAATATTTTAGTATTTTAATTATTAGTTTTTGTGAAAATTTGAATTCTTTTAAATAGTATTTAGATTTATAAAATAGTTTATTAGTTTTATATAAATAGTATTACACAATTAAATAGTTTGGTTAATACATTTTCCCTTGAATATAACAACAAAGTAAAAGAAATAGTTCAACAAGCTAGTAGTAATTATTCCTATACTTTCAATTTCCAATAACTTAAGAATTAGAACAAATCAAAGTTCAATTTCATAATCTTTTTAATATTAGAGATATTTGTATTGTAATTTTAAATCAAATTTCTGAATTAAATTAATTTTTAGTAATAGCCCTATAGTTCTTCCTTTTATATTTATAAAAGTGAAAGCGAAAAATACTTGTGTGGAAAAAGCAATTGAATTTAAAGATAAAGCAATAGAGAAAATTGTTGACTAAGAGTTAAAAAGACAAGAAAAAGATCCTAATTACAAAATTACTTATATTCTTAAAAACCTAAACTATGTTAAAGACTATTTAAATCAAATTAAATATTATGTATAGATCTGAGATAATATCTTAATAGATAACAGTCAAAACTTCTTTAATATTTTAAAAAAAGTAAAGAGATTGAAAAGTTCCAAACTAAAAGTTAATAACTACATATATCAAATTATTGAATAAATATCAATATAAAACAAGATAACACAACTAAAAATATCACATTTCAAGTACTGTTGTTAAACAAAAAGACTATTGTAACTTCTGTCATATTTCACCTTTACAACCTACAGAATATTTTAAAACATTATAAATTTGGTATAGTAGGTAATCAAAAGTCACTGGACAGTTAAAAATTTTTAAAAAAATTACTAAATTTAAAATATAAATTGTGCTACAATGAGTGATCTAAATTGCAATAAACTTTTTTTTATTAGATTCTCCTAAATCAGGGCTATCATATCATACATTTTTTATTAAAATTAAATATTCACACATAGAGAAATTACACTTCAAATAAAATTAACAAAAAATGATAAATTTAATCTTTAATTGTTATTTATATTGAAATTAATATATTTAAAGATAGATATCAACTATCTTATATTGAATTGTAACTAGAAAAAATATATCTAATTTTAATTAGTAGCATTTTTCATAATATTTATTGAAAATTAGGTTTTACTTAGATGTGAATAAAAATAATCAAATCTTATTAAAAATTTTAAAAAAATAAAAAAAATATGAAAATAATTATCAATTATTTTTACATATAAAAGTTTTTTATTTACTAAAGTAGTAATAAAATTAATACTAAATAACATTATAACTAAGAATATGTAATATCTTTTCTGAAGTATTTAGAAATATTTAATTAAAATTAATTAAATAATAAATGATTAAAATCCAGAGAATAATTTTTAAATGTCCAGTGTTAAACCATTGATATTAAATTTAATTTGTAATAATAAATTCTAAAAACTTCATAAAAAATGCTCCATGTTCTTAGCTATAAGAATTATTAGTTCTACATTTGATATTTTGTTAATTTTTTTTTTAACCATCAGAGTCTTGTTAGATACTTTATTAAATAAAATAAATACTGGTCAAATTGTGAAAAATCAGTATCTATCATATACCTATCAGATATTTAATAGGTATACAATAGGTACCCAATTTTCAATAAATTTTAATATATCAGGCTTCCAATAGATAGAGTGAGTATGCCGAAGTTTAGGTACATATCAGGTACATATTGACAGATATCAGATACATATCGGACTCTAATTTTTTGATATTTTTTTCAAATATATCATACACTTATCGGGTACCCGATTTCATTTATTTTTTATCAGACACATATCTTCAATATATTAATATAGTATATCAGATATATATTGGTCACTGTATATTTCTCAATATCAGAAGCTTTTTTCTTACTATCGGATATCTATCGGTAATTTTTATTTATATATTTTTATTTTTCTTATTACCAATAATCGCATTTTTGTTTTTTATTATAAAATATAAATAAAATATATTATTTATTAATAAAAAATATAAAATGAAAAATGTTATATATATTATATATTGTTAATTATACTATTTAT